ATCGGATTCTTGAATTGTTATATATATATATATATAAACAAATATGAGATCAGAATCTATATGGAGTCCTCGACACTTGATTTTGTCCATGGAATCTAATATGTGTTCCTCAATTTGAAGTATGGCCCTCTGCCCGTCTTTGACCATACCATTATTATGTATTTTCGTTGGAATGATTTTCCTTAGAAAAAAAATTTGAGATCTATTATAAATTTTTAAATATATTTTCAGCCTTTGACAAAGTCCCACTCATGCCAGCTAACCTGAGAGATCACTCACCAAAAAAAGAATTCAGCTTCGTTAAGAAGCTGGATTTATATGGTTGAGTTTGAATAGGTAAAAGTGAGCCATAATAAACCCTCGTGGATTGCAGTGGAGGGTCGAATAGACCCACTCACTTTAGACCTACTAATGTATTTAGATGATCAATGGAATAATAATTGTAATGGGGTAATGTCAAATGTAAGATGTCTATTACAATGTGAATCAATTTCATAACCAACTATAAGAACATTATTTTGATAAACATTGCACTTTGAATAATTTTTGTCAAATTGAAGTCAAGCTTGTGCTCCAACCAAAATGGTTAATACTTATTTCAACAGGTTCACCTCAGAACCACCTATGTTCATGTGGATTTGTTGGCAGTGGTCTGCGGAAACCTGCACAGTATGTTCATTTTATTTCAATATAGTTAATTATATTCTATGGATGGAATCCATAAGTAATTTTTTTAATAATTATTAGGTTTCATGCCCCTAAGCAGATCCAGTATGCATACATGTATGACACAGAAATAATATAAAGTATATCCTACTGTGGGACCATTTTAATACATAAACTTACGAAGGTAATTCAAAGCCTGTGCACAATTTCCCACTATTATCAGTGATAAAAGTTATATCTGAGCCAATCCCATTATCTGGTACCATCTCATCATTTTCATGATAAGCTTCATTCCTTTCTGAAAAGGTAAAATTAACGAATATTTACGACACAACCTCAAAAACAAATCGAAACCTGATGAACACTCCACACTTCCTGTATGTACAACCTTTGTCCCTTTGTAATGTCTCAAATTAAAACATTTTCCATCTATCCACATCCGTATTGGTTTAGACGACCCAATAGTTTTGATTACTTTATCGGACATTTCAAAATATCAATAAACAATATGTCCACGCCACAAACTACTTACTCTTACTAGTAGGTGGTTTGTGAATATGTCATACGAACTATGTCAATAATTCAATTATTATTATTATTACAGTAGAACACAGAACACAGAACTGTGGTCTTTAGCTTTTACTGTGAGAGAACAACAAATATTTGTCTGACTGCGTTTTTTTTTTTGGTATGATCCCAACTTGAATAATAAATTCCGTCTTTCCTAAGATTTATGTCCTTTCCTCCTTTCCATGATCTGATTTCTCTTCTGTATGTGAGTCTTACAATTATATTTCATTCCGTTAGATGGATTCTTGAGAATAGGGTAGTGGTAAAAGTAGAAATGTCAATTTTATTCTTGGCAACTTGGCGTTCCTTCGATATATTTCCCGTGATTTACCGAGGCAAAAAAACATCTTTGTTCAAGTATTTTTCGCTTATCGCTTTATACCGCCAATTCAAGTAACATGGTTTTAGTTCGCAATATTCATTTTGGAGGAAATACATTATATAATTTCATGCTATATGGTATCCTAGGTAACATATCTGTCTAAGCTGTCTTCGTTGTTGTCTCAAAATGGTATTATTACACAACGTTAAAACTTACGAAGAATTTATAAATCTACTTGAAGAACTGAAAGTTGCAGCTTCGGAACATTCGGTATACATTTACTTTACATCTTCCATAACTGATACCAATGATCAATCCTGGTGCCCGTCTTGTAACGCAGCTTGGTCGGTCATTCAGAAATGTTTGGATCACGTGAATCCCCAAGCAATATTCATCAAGGCAGAAGTTGGAAGTAAAGAAGAATGGGAATCCAAAAACAATCCTTTTAAAATGAATTCAAGGTATAAAGTTAAAGTTCTTCCGACACTCCTTCATTGGAAGTCTTATCAAAGGTTAGAAGGAGCCTATTGTGCCAAGCCTGATATAGTCGAACTACTCTTTGATGAATCAGAAGCGGTCAATTACACTCAATTGAGCATGTCAGAACGACAAACCTGCTAATATTTTTAACGTTCCCTTGAATGAATAAAATTTGATACAAAAACAATATATTGTAATAATGTAATTTTGACATTTTATAACAGTCTACCTACATACATTATTGTCTTCAATCATTTTATTTTTTCAAAACATCTCATTCATGTAAGTACCTTTTTGAAGTCGGTGAAAAAGTCGCAAATTCAAACCCTTTCATTTAATAAATTATTGTATGAAAGAGCCGTGAGGTATATGAATGTAGTTACCAAAATATCTTTTCAAAATCAGTTCTTTAATGTTACATGCGCGAAAAGATAGAATCATCCTTTTGGTACATTATCGATCTAATTTCATTGAATTATCGATATTATTTCGTTATCTATTGCTTTTTACATAAAGTCGTAATGTTAAGAATTAATTGAGTGATTCATCTTGTAATGTTAGCATGATTGGTGCAAAAGACAAAAGGCAAAAAGACCTATCTGTCTTATTCCGAAACGTCAATGTCTGCCATTGAGAATGACAGTGTTATATGTAAGTGAAATTTTATCTCTTTCATACACTAAATTCTGTACCATTCCTGTGAATGATATCTGATTCAAATCCTTTCTTTGGAAGATTCCCACGTTTTTTGTATCAAGATGGAGTAGTAGAAAGCCAAAAACTTTCTTTCCCAAAAAATTAATCACTACTAAAAATATAACCCCTTCAATTCACAAAATAATAATTTTATGAATTTTGAGACTTTTGACTACTATCAAAATAAAATTATCACAATAGTGATGAAAGCATTCAAAACCCACCTAAGGCTTGTTAAAAACATTCCATAATCCGTTATTCTGTAAGATCCTTATAAAACAGTGAGTATTTTACAACTTTGTAAGTGAATACATCCATGCCAACTGAATGCCAACATACATTATTTAATCCATGGTTTAATTACAATTCAAATTGAGGGTATAGTTAAGTCACGTAGTTGTAATAACATGTGGTTCGAACTTGAAAATAGACATAATGTGCATTTATATTCAAGTGATTCAACGTGGTTTAGGCAAAATTTATATAATGATACGGTTCCAAAGTCGTCATCAAAGCTTTGTCTGTCGCTTAATTTTTTTTTGTAAAAAAACTTCTGTCACACATTCAGCGAAGTAAATTTTGTCATTTGCATTTAATTACATTTAAACTAGATTTTTGTGACAGATGAAGATCTGTGAAAGCCACTCGAGTTCATCTGAAAGCATAGTGCTGCCCTCACCGAATCATAAGAAACATAAACATAAGAAAACAAATTTTAACCTATTTGAGTTCATATGAACTACTCAAGTGATATCACAAATCATAACAAAAGGAAAGAGCCGAATAACCTAATTGAGATATAAATATTGAAGATTCTCAAATTTTTGTTTTCAATTTTCAGTAAATGGCTGCTATTAAAGTTCCCCAGCAAAAAGTTATTTTATGCGGTGAATATGGTGTAGGAAAAAGTTCTATCTTCAGAAGATTTACAAATAATACTTTCATAACAACTACTGACAGAAAATCTACTTTGGGGCTGGATCATTTTTATAAAACGTATAGTGTTTGTGACAGGAACATTAAGGTAATGATTTTGGTATGTATAACTGATCATACATTTTATTTTTCAGTTGCAGTTATGGGATACAGGGGGTATGGAAAGAGTTGCCTCCATAACTTCTAGTTACTACAAATTTGCTGAGGCAGCAATTTTGGTCTTTTCCCTAGATAATCCTGCTTCATTTCATGTACTATCTCAGCACTTACTTGATATTGTTACCTACGCAGAGAATGCTAAAATATTTTTATGTGGGAATAAGAGTGACTTGGTTCAAGACATCCCACAAGTCAGTGATTCTGAAATAGAAGCATTTTGGTATACATAATGGTGTACACATTCAAATATTTTGCTGAAGACGTATTTTTTTCAGTGAACAGTGTCATAATTTAGTATCTGGCATATACAAAACATCTTGCAAAACTGGTGAAGGTCTTGATGAAATGTTTACAGACATAGCTTATCAGTTGGTGAATTCTAATAGATCTAGATTTGAACTACAGGCCATGGAACAACATGGGTTCAAGATAACACCTTATGAAGAGGAACTACAAGATGATAGTTGTTTATGTTAAGATCTGAAATTCATCAAAACCATTTTGGAAACATTTGGGAATGCGTTCAGTATTTCAGGTTTATTTTTAGAATAATTTCATTCTGTATAAAATCCAAAAGAAATATCAAACTTAAAAAGAAATGTATTACAATGTCAGATAAGAACAGCAGTCTCATATTGGATCACAAAAGCAATGGTTTTCAGTGTGCTTTAATTTGATTTTTCCTGTTTTGTTTTAAAGAAATTAATGGGAAACTTTCATATTTATCTTGAAGAAAATATGTTATTTAATAATGTGTTTGATTTAATCCTTCAAATGGAACATATGTTAACCTAACAGTTATCTTTGAATAACAAAATTCCTATATTTATAGTTAGTACTGAAACAAATCCTGGTGTGGAAGGAATCTAGTGAAAATATTTTGCAGTAATGCAAAATTCTTGTTTGCACTTGGAAAAAAAATAAATTATGTAAACTTATAAACAAAAAATGTGCCACCAAAAATATCGGCTTCTAAATGTGTGTAACATTTTATACACTTAACTAAGTGGCATGTCTATATTCCTAGCTTGGAAAAGCTAAACATTTATAAGTATAATATGAGATTGAGAGCTTTAAAATTGAAACCTTGAGTTGTGTTGATTTTTTGTGTTTATTTTGTTGGTATATATTGATAACATTTTTCTTGCTTTGGGAAGCTGAGAATATTGAATCATCATTTCTTGTTTTTGTTCATTAATATTTTTTACAAAGTTTTCATTTATTCTTGACAAATGAACATTTAATACACATCTCACTTGATGGACTAATTGTAAAACGGGATCCTCTAACTACTAAAAGACTTATTAACTGGTCAAAAATGTTGCCAAAGTTTTGTAAACATTAGTTAATAGTATATATAGTTTTATTTATTAAGGCTGCATATGAATAATGGTAAAGCAGCAAACTAAACTTTTCTTTTGGTTTTAGTTTGCTTGTAAGTAGTAAGTGCTTTAATCTTAATTAATCAAATTTCACTAAAATGTGAATTTTATCTATAAAATGTAACAGAGCATCTTTCTTGGCGCGAAGTTTATTACAAATACCATATTTTTAAGAACATCGACATTGGAATTACTTCCTAAGAATAACATTATCTTTCAACTAGTCTAGTTGAAAAACTCCAGACATCACAAGAAGATGGCAAATGAGACTTTGCTGAAACGTTGTGAGGATAATCCTTATGAGGATAAAATACACAGAACATGGAGCGAAACCCACAATTAAAATCAAGTTGAAAGCTTGTGTCACTAAAAACTTAACATTAGATAGAACCCAATTTCTTACATTTTTCTTTGTTATGATCTATTGCATTAGTCTCAGCAACACTAAGTAATATTTGGATTCTTCTTACTTATTTTAATGTAGTTTTGATATTTGTAGTTATGCTCTGATGATGATAGCATTTATTATAGAAATATAGGGAAATTAGTGTTACAAATTTCTCGCTGGCTGCTTTGATGTCATGTATGAAATTATACATATATCTACCACATATTTTAAAGTGATGACAATACATTTTATGCTTTGTCAATAAGGATTTTGTTCTTTCAAGAATAGAATTTGGAAATGTCAACTCCTTATAGAGAAAGCTGAGAGTATAAATTATTTTCTCCATTTTATTCTCATTCAATATGAAAAAATTATAAATACTACAGGTTACTGACTAACTCTTTGGAGAGTGTGTTTTTCAGTTTGCCCTTTATAACACTTGAGCAAATTGTCTGTTAATCTGGATTTATTTTTCAGATAGTAGAAAATTAAAGAACAAAATTTGTGGAAAATAAAAACACAGTTCATTTAATCATGAATTGAAAATTTATGATAATTACAATAAAACATGTATAAAATATCAATTATAACACTTTGTAAGCAAATAACTTTTAGGAAAAATCAACATTGGTTCATTTTATATTAGCACTTTACAACAGAAATACTAAAAAATAGGCAGATCAAATAGCAATTTCAGTATCACAGGTGCAGTTCTTCCTTGGTTTTTTTTAACTTGCAGCTAAACATCTCCTCTCACATTTTCCATTCTAATAAAATCAAAACAGTTCATCACCTATCTCGTATCACTTCTTAACATATTTCGAAAAACCTCATTTAAATTTTCAACTGTTCATTCAGTGTTGAGACCACTGTATATTCTTAAGATCAATCCCTTCTTGCACCATCTCCCAAAGCGGACTCATCTCTCTCAATCTATTGACATGGTATATACACTTCTTAGCTGTATAATCGATTTCTTCTTCCGTTGTGAAACGACCTATACCAAATCTGATGGAACTGTGAGCTAGGTCTTCGTCGGTTCCAATCGCCCGGAGAACATAAGAAGGCTCCAAGGAAGCAGAAGTGCAGGCTGATCCGCTGGACAGCGCAATATCCTTTAGTGCCATAAGAAGAGATTCACCTGTCATAATGAAAAATGTATTAAGCCCCAAATATCATGATGTAGTTCTTTATTTTACTTCTAATCAGCGAACTCATAAGGGATACTAAAAAACTGCTATTTTTTGGACGTAACTAAATGTTAATTTGAAAATAAGTCTGACATCTATTGTAGAACTTGGAAAATAATTCATTTCCAGTCGTAGAAATTTCAATTAAATTGATAAGCGAATACTTTTGGGAGAGATTCGTTTTTGGTGCTATGAGAAGTGTAAGATAAGTGTTCTCCAAAACTTCAAAGTACATCGAATTTGATTGAACTGCATCTAAGTGAACTTTTATATCAATATTTTTATATATATTACATTGAGCAGCGTTCCTGAGAATGATACCTATTTCAATGCCATTATGAATGTGATTTCTGTGCAATTCAATATTTATATGAAAGTTGTTTCAGTAGGAATTTTTTTTCAGTTTTTAGCTGAAAAAAACTTCTGCACTTGATCTAGAAATCTTTGTGTAAAGAGTTTTTATTTCTTTCTTGTGAAGTGTCCCATATTTTTTGTTTTATTATGGAGAAGAAGAAAGCCAAAAGATTTTCTCAAAACTGATCTCTCTTGAAAATATTTCCTTTTCAATTTAAATTAATACCATTATGAAAAAATAAATGGTTGTTCTAAACTGGATTGGGGGATCTCAAACAAGAGTCCTAACTCATTGGAAGATGTCATTTTATTTCTAACATTTACAGTTTCAGATTTTTAATTTGAGAAGAACATCTATATCTAATACTTTATTAGGTTCATATACATTTTTAGTTGACTCCGATAATCTTTCTTAGTGATACATTTAATCATTTTATTTTCTCACTTGTTTTAATGGTTTCCTAATAATAATGAAAAATTCAAATAACTGTAATATAAAAATGTTCGGTTCTAGATAAAAAAATAATATTGAAAAAACAACTTGACCATTAATTTCATCATTTTTCAGAAGGGTAATCAAAGTTGTTTTTGAAGCAGGTAAATTTTGTGACAACCTATTTATTCACTACTCATACAGTGTGTAACAACGAAAACTTAACAGAGCCGTTTTTGAATATAAAAAGTAAGATTTTTATAAAAAGCTCGGACACGTCGATGTCTAATTAAAGGAGGACACCTTTCAGACTAATCAGATTTTTTGTATTACGCACCCCCTCGGAGGGGTGCGTCCGACGACCCTTATTTAGATAGGGAAAGTAGGTCGAGTGGCACCTTGTTTTAAAGGTCTTTTGAATACCTTTACAACTGTGTTGAAAGAAAATTTTTGTAACGATTAGTTTTTGAAATAATTTGAAGTTAAAATTGCCCCATGTAAGTAATACATTAGACAGACCACTCGTAACATGTATACCTGAATAAAAAAAATGTCGAGCAGTTCTTATCAGTTTTTTGTTAAACAAAATCCTATTTTTAAAATCAATACCCACTCCTCTTCTTCCAGTTTTCATTAGTACATCGTTCGATTGTTTTGTTTAAACTGGTCGTGCATTGTTATTTGTTTAAAAATGCCTTACACTACTGCTGCAAGGGTTTCAGTTATTGCTTTATTTTTTGGCAACGACCAAAATGCTAATAGAACATAAATTTTATTTAACGAGCAAAACCCTGGTAAACACCTAAGCAGAAATCAAGTTCTGGATTTGGTCACAAAATTCAGGGAGACAGGTTCTGTTTTAAATAAGAAAAGAAATATTCAGAGAAGGGTAGTAAATGACGATAATGCGATTGGAGTGATTGGTCAAGTCATTGCCAATCCCAGGTTAAGTACCAGAGGTTTATCAGCAATGGCCGGAATAAGGCATATGAGCGCATGGAGAATCCTTAAAAACCACAAATTCCATCCTTACTAAATTAAACTTGTTCATGAACTCAATGAAGCGGATTTTGACCGAAGACAGGAGTTTTGTGAGGGCATGAGTGAGAGATTAATGCAAAATCCCGAGCTGCTTTATAACATCTGTTTTTCGGACGAAAGCTCACTTTATTTAAATGGTTGCGTGAACCGTCACAATTGCCGTTATTGGTCGGATGAAAACCCAAGACAATACGCAGAAATACATACCCAACATCCCCAAAAGTTGAATGTCTGGGCCGGAATATTAGGTAATCATATTATAGGTCCATTTTTCATTGATGGAAATTTAACCGGTGATTCTTATTTATAACTTCTTGAAGAGGCAATACAACCTCGTATAGTTTAAATAATTCAACAGGATCCAAGATGTTAAGATGAATTTATCCATTTTCAACAAGACGGTGCACCACCCCATTATGCCCAGCAGGTTCGAAATTTTCTGAATAATCATTTTGAAGGACAATGGATTGGCAGAAGAGGTCCAATTGAATGACCAGCAAGATCACCAGATTTAACACCACTGGACTACTTTTTGTGGGGATATTTAAAGTCTAAAGTTTATGCTTCACAGCCAGCAATTTGGATGAATTACGTAGTGGAATTATTGATGAATGCCGAGCTATAACTCCTGAGATGTTGAATAATGTAAGAGCAAACTTCGAACAAAATCTTTATTGTTGCATGGGGCAAAATGGCGCACATTTTGAACATTTACTCTCAATTTCCTATGTGAGTTACCCTTATTAGGTGTTACTTTTTTTTTGTGTGCTTTAAAAACAATTATTGGGATTTATTAACCCTAAAACAGTTTTTTAATCTTTTCTGTGTCATCAGCATTCAAGGAAATCGAATTCGTTGGGTAGGTAAGTTTTTAGTATGATTCTCTTTTTTATCAGAAGCATAAAATATCCACGTCAAAAGGCAACCTTCATAAGGAGGTGCCACTCAATTTACCTAAAATGTAAGGGTGGTAACCAACCCCATCCCCCGAAAAAAATCTCCTCGTAATAAACAAATAGTTCTTACTTTTTTACGAAATCAAATGGACACGTATTAGGAGGTTGTCATAAAAAGCAAAAATTTATTTTTTTCATGAAAGTTCTGAACGTAAATTGTACCTTAAAAACAATTTGATTTATTTTAAAAAGAGTTTAACTCAATAAAAATACCTTTAAATCTTCAAATTATCTCGAAAACTACTCGTTAGAGAAATTTTCTTTCAACAGAGATGTAAAGGTATTCGAAAGACCTTTAAAACAAAGTGCCACTTGACCTACTTCCCTATCTAAATGAGGGTCATCGGACGCACCCCTCCGAGGGGGTCCGTACTTTTCATCATTTGTTTGAAAGCTTCCTACTTTATCTTAGTTAAGCGAGGTAATTTCTTACTGTTTTTTTGGGTATATAACCATTCTGGGTATATAACCAATCACAATCTGGAAATAAAAAATGAACAAAGCTAAATCAATTGAGAATTTGCTGAAGTGTAATAAAGGGCAAACTGAGAAGATTACCCGGAAAAGTTACTGCATAATATAAATCACTGCAGAATCCAATTAATCAGTAATTTGTCGTATTCATGAATTTCAAAACCCAATATTCAGTTTAAAACTTTCGCCTCAAATTGTAAATAGCTTTAATTCTTTTAACATATGTCAAAATAATTTAATTCCAAATAATTAAATTGAAGGTATTTACAATTTGAGGCGAAAGTTTAAAAGTGAATTTTGGGTTTTGAAAACTGAAAAAGATTTATGAATTTATTTTTGAAAAATTTATGAATATGACAAGTTAATGACTGATTGGACTCTTTAGTGGTTTATATTACGCAGTAATTTTTTGGGGTGAACTTTTCAGTTTGCCCTTTATTACACTTCAGCAGATTCTCTATTGATTTAACTCTGTTTATTTTGCTCTTTTCAGATTGTGGAAGGTTATATACCCAAAAAAATAGTGAAAAGCATTTTGTCCCCCACAACAAAAAGTCTTTCAAAGAATAAGTGAAGAAACTATTGTAGAAAATGAAAAAATGTACTGTTTCATTGGCACAGAAAAATAAACTGCATTGTATATGTGTCATTTTTTGTACAACAAGAGGTACATTTCAATGTCAACTTTCTAAAAATACTACTTCCTATGAAGATTTTCGAGAAGAATGAAGTGAAGAATGGCATTTGAAAATAATTAATGAAACGTACGAATATTAGTAGAAAAGTTCAATTCTTGAATTTTTATTTAAAAACATAGCCAACATCGTCCTTTTTTTCTCGCCACATCAAGTTGTTTGACAATATTTTCGTTGAATTTAGAAAAAATTGCTCCTAAGGAGACATTTTAAATGGAAATGGTCACTTGTTATAACGTTGAAAAAATATTTTTAAAATATATACTAGGTTCCATTCAAAATTCTTGACTTGGGTTCATATTTAGTTGTACCGAAAAAAGTTTTCAATTGTTTTTTCATTAAATATATCAGCTTGGGTGAACTATACCTTCATTTCAAATTTAAATTTTTTACCCCAGAAACAACTGAATGGCGTCATGTACAATGATTTCGTTCTCACTAAGTATATAAATAGAAACTAAGTTTCATTCAAAGTAAACCTTGGAAGAGTTATTTCTTTGTACTTACATTGAAAGCAACACAATGAAAGTTAATTATAGAGCAAATCTTTAAAATTATTTAAAAAATTAATCATAACTATGAAATAAAACGATACATAATTTAAACAAAAAATAATCATAAATGCTCCCCCATGCCGTGTGGGGAATTGAACAATATTCAATTTAGGATGTAAATAATTACCAAAACTCTGTAATTTAAACTACCTTATCAGGTCATTTCACATTTTTGATTAATGGTTGTTTTTAGAAAATATTACCTGATACATAATAGAAGGTAAACAAAGGTTTTGGCTTTCTACGTCTCCAACTATATACAAAAAATGTATGAATTTTCCAAAGATGGAAAAGTAGAAAGCCAAAACTTTTCATTGCCAAAAATTTATCTCTTCTAAAAATATACTCCTTTCAATTTAAAGGACGTAAACACTTTTTGATTTTCATTACATATCGCATGACAAATTCAAATGAGTTTTTTTAGAATGGTTGAAATTTTCATTTACTAAGTAGGAGAGATTCGATCAGTAACAGCCAGTCGAAACCAATCAAATTGATATGAGTGAATAACATCAGCAACTGCATTAATATATTAAAGTTACCTGATGACCTTACAATTACGACATCCAGACAGAGATGTCCTTCTTTTTTCACTGTTATTTCCCTCTGATATAGTTCTAATTTTAATAATTCTAAAATAAAAATCATGACATTATAAAAAAATAACAAAAATTATTTGGCGCTCCGGGACGATTTCATTGATTCCAGTGGCGCATTTGTTTTTTCAGCTGCAGGAAAACCCGGAAAAACTTGCAGCTCCACATCTTGATCTGCCAATATCCTCTCTCTCATAAATCAAAATGTAGGGTGTTTCCAGAGGCTCCACAAAATTCACTGCATCGCCATAACACTTTATGACACGACTATCGTCAAACTTGAACCAGTCCGTTTCGTCTTTGACCAAGACGTAATAATGACCAGATTCTACGCCAGAACCACAGTAAACAATGACAGCATGAAGATTATAATGGTGGTCTGCTAGATTGAAGTGTTCATCTATTTCGAATCTTTGTAAAAGTTTGGTGCTTCCGTCAGATATATATTTTCAATATTCACTTGAAAGCTTTTCCACAGAAACTGTAGCAACAAATGAAACTCAGTTTTTTTTTTATTCTGTAAAACTATTTTACTAGTTGAAATTCTGTTTGTGACGTATTATGATTATTAAATATTATTATTATTATTTTATTAAAATTTTTTCCAGGTTTCATACTATAAATAAGAGAACTCTGTAAAAATGTGATTGTGATTTTTTGAAAAACTCCAAACAGGGTCACTCACCTTCAACGTATGCAAAAGACAAATTTATACAACCAGGATAGGTTTGTGACTCGTCTCCATTTCTAATGACATGACTTAAAGAACCGCAAATCTGATCCAATAACTTTTTGCTGAGTCTTTGAATGTAAGCATGATCATATTCCATTTCAGTTTTACTGATCCTGCATGCTTCACCAAAACCGACTACAAGAGGGGCAGGTACGGTTCCACTTCTGATGCCCCTTTCTTGACCCCCTCCGCTTTGGATTGCTTCCACTCGTACTCTGGGGCGCCGACGAATGTAAATGGCACCAATACCTTGAGAAAAAATTAGAGACATATGATGAGTGAAGTGGCACTTATTCAGATTTCGAGAATATATCTCTCTCGTTTATTTCAATTTTGATTATTTTAATCACCGATTCAGTCTTTTCACATTTAGATGTATATGATTGCTGTGTATTTACTTATTTTTTATAAGTTAACTGACAACATTTAAAAACGGAATACTATAACTTAAATAACATATATAGAAACATTTTAATGACAACAAAACCACTTTAAATAGTCCAGAGATCTTCAACATCCAGCTTCATTTTCAAACTTGCATAACAAAAAAATATGTGGAAAAAAATACGTGTTTTATATTATAATAGTTGATACTTGCAAAAATTAAGAGAATAAGTGTAAGAATGCTTGAGACACAAAAATAATTTACTGAACTGTGTTATTTCTATTTTAAAATCAACAAAATATACATAATTATAACAGATACGAATTTTATTGAAATGATAAGAAAAACAACTGTACGTGAAGCAATTGCTGTATGTACTTTTTCACTTCAATAATTTGAAATATGTCATGTTCAATCCCTCAATATCTTTTCTGGTATTTGCACTATCAACATAAATTCTCTACTCTGTTTGAAAGTAAAAGCAAGAATCATATCATACCCTGATGATACGGTTGTTATTTTCAATGAAAATACATGGTCTGAAACCAGAAATTCTGTCCAGTCACGCATGGAAAAAATTCATAAATGGTTGAGTAGATATCGTTTTCATTAAACGTTAGTAAAATCCACTATTTTGTTTTCTGCATAACATCAGCAAAGAGACCTAATTTCTCTAATATTAAAGTTCCAGGTATGAGGGAGGAAATCAAAGAAATAACCGAGGTCAAGTATTTGGGCATAATTATTGACAATAATTCAAAATGGAACAATCATACTGATTACCTGGCAAAAAAAGTGAGGAAGCTAATATATAAATTTTTACCAGCTACGATAGTTTCCATTGAAAAATATACTTATATTAATTTACAAATCTCTACCTGAATCACTTTTTCGTTATGGTATTCTGGTGTGGGGAGCAATGTATAAGAGTTCCTTGCAAAAACTGAACGTGATACAAAACTATATTCTGAAAATAATCTTGAAGAAGAAAATAACATATTATACTAATCTTATATATTCAGAAGATCTTAGTAATATTCAAACATTATACTTTCATAGTTTATGTAAGTATGCATTCAAAAACAAAACATTTCATAATTATGTTCTCACAGTTTATATTACTAGAAATACAATAAACGAATTGCTACCCACTCCAAAATACAATAAAAATATTTGTCATTGCTTTTTTACTTACACACTACCTAAAATTTGTAATATTCTACCCTTAAGGACAAAACGTATTGAAAATTATAAAACCTTCTCTATAGAATCAAAAAAAAATTATCTTCGAAAATTACTTTGAATTTATCAAAATATTAGAACACCAATAGATACACTGGCACTAAATTGTTTCCTAATTCTCTGTACACAACGGTAATTTTATAGATAGATAGATCTTTATTTAAATAGGATATCCTAATAATATACAAATCAACTAGAATGGTAGAAATAAATATCAACGGTAAATTTATTTTTGGCGAAATGTTTATGTAAAAGCTTTAGTATATAATAGAAACAAGATCATTTTTGAAGTATACCAAGAACACAAGTATAGCTGTCGTCTTAAACAACCGAAGAAATCTACAAATGTAAAACAAGTCCTAGAAGCAACAGATCACGTAATTGAAGAAAAAATTGCTCTCCTGTCTAATAAAACCCATTGCCACACAAGAAATCATAGGGAGGCCGTCGAGATCTATAGGTAACTCAACAATTTCAACAAAAAGAAGGTATAGAAGTCAACTGAACGTGGCATCCAGTGCTCAAGAAGGCCAAAAATAGACAAGAATACAACTCCAATTGACAGCAGCATATCTGTCAAAAACGTGAAAACGTGGATCAATCAGAACCATAGAGCCAAACTGTGACCCAATCAAGGGTGAGTATTTGCACCTCCACCAGTTCCTGAAAGTATAATTATGAACTGAGAAGCTTGAACATGCAGTGCCTCAGTCAGTCGTTACTGAGAGATACTACCTTCGTCCTCTCAGTAAATGCATGTACCGCTGAAGATGTCCACGGCAGTAGAAGACGAAACGTTTGATACTATGAGTTCCATTAGAGCCCGGATTTTTTTCTCTCTAATCGTGAATCGGACCATGAAAGTCTGTGTTCTTATAGAAATGAGGAATTTTGAAAAAAAATTTTTTTTTAAGTCATTACTAAGAGTGTATCTGCAAATCGTGGCCTGAAGGGTAAAATCTTTTACCCATGTGGCAAAACCAACTTTAGCGTCAACGTATCAACATTTCTTTCAATTCTATAGCAATTTTTATTCTTTATATCTTGACCTATAATAAAGTACATTTTAATCATTTTTTTCTCAGAATATAAATAAAAATGAAATGTCCAGTTTGTTCTAAATATCAGAAAGTACAAGTTATTAAAACAGGGGGTCAAAAAATTGAAATTAAAATGTTTTTTTTTAGATATTCATTCTATTTGAATGGAAAATAATTTTTCTATGTCATCTAATCATGTTTCATTTGGGAAGTTTTATAATTTTATAATGAGACATATGCATGTATATTTACAGTGATTACTAAATATTTATCAATTGAAAGGTTACTTCATTTTTCAAAGGATCAAAATATGTCATATTTAAACAAAATTAATTATTTAATTCATACCATAAATCCAAAATATTTGTTGTACCTTATTTTCTCTTTAATATTAATGACATTACTCCCCCATTATTTTCAAACACAAATATATAATTTTTGAATAATACAAAACAAAGATAACTTTTCTAAAAAAAAACTTTTCTATTACACAAAAAATTTACCTTTTGGTCCATATAGTTTATGACCACTAATTGACATCAAGTCAATATTCATTGAGTTGACATCCAATGGAACTTTTCCTACTGCCTGTGCTGCGTCTGTATGGAAAAACACCTTTTTTTCTCTGCAAAGCGCTCCTATTTCAGAAATTGGCTGTTTAACACCTGAAAAAATGTCATGAAGAAAAAAAAATCATACAAAATGCTGAAATGTGAATATATTTCTTTACAAGTGAAATTTTTAGTTTATTTTCATTAGAAATGATGATCGCTATCTTAGATCTATTCTCAACTATTTTTCTGAATTCAATATATTTATTTATTTGAATGAAGTTCTGACTTCCAGTGCCTAAAAAATAGTTATGGTTCATTTCAATAGGCAGTGCAGTAATAATTATGGGTTGGAAGATATTAAACAATGGGATAATTTGGTATTACCAGCATTATACTTGGGGAAAACTCAACAAGACATTTATTTATTTATTGCTGTCTAAAAAGTTAGCATGCTATTACAATTATTCGTTTCGAGTGACTTATTACTGCACGCCTTTTGAGAATGGACTCACTTTACCATATCTGAAAAATCTATGAGAAGTTGAATGAAAGAAATATTAAGAATACTAGGACAGAAATATGTAGATGAATCACTTGGAAAATATAAAAAAAATGGGAAGAAATAAACAATGAGTAATGCGAGAATTAGAAATACTTCCACCACAGAAATAACTAGACACTGTAAACGAAGTTACGAGGATAGGAACAATAAATATGGTAATTAATATTTGTCATATGAATGTTCAGGTTTACTAATCAAATTAATATTTCATGTACATATATTGAAACATGGGTTAAACTGAGTGTATTCAGATATTATTAACAATTTTGGAAACTACAAAACAGCAGCCATCTATGCAAGAGTAATAATATTGATATTTTTGTTAATGTATTAACTCAGGGTGTCTGATATAGTTTCTAGTCGCTGTGACTTCATCAACTTTTGTGGAGACTTCAACATAAATAATCTAGAATATAAACTGAACGTCAAACTGTTCCTTGATGTTTTAAATTCCTTTCTTTTTTTTGGAAATTGCCAGAGTTTTTTTCAATAAAACGACTACACCAGTTTGACTTCTACTGACTCCATTTTCAAAAATCTCCCAAAATCAGGAGCAATTTAGTTTATAAAAGGTATCCCTGGCAAAGAATAAATCTGAAACAAGCACTTTTTCCAATCAACAGAAATGCCATTTTGTTCTCGAAACAAGTTTCACCAAACAAGTTGGCGTCTTCAGGAGATGAAGAAAATTGAATTTGTCAAGTCTATGAAGGTATGTATATTTGCAAATGAGAATTTCATTTCATTTTATCAAATGGCCTAATATATAAACATAAATATTTTGTAAATTTATACATATTCATTCTACTCATACTCATGCTACTCATTTCTGACTTACCATATACAAGGTGTCCCATATAAAACTCCACGGGCCAATATCTAAAAAATGAAAAAAAATATCCAAATTTCCTGAAAGCAGATAATTTTGGCGTCAAAGGGTCCTCTTATTTACGTAGAGATCCAGCACTAGGCGTCTTCCGTTAGGGCGTCGCAACACCGACGCCAATTTTTTTAAATGGTAACCCAGTGTTTTCAATTGGTTTTTGAATTCTGCATTAAATTCTGAATTCAGCCACATATGGATTATATAGTTTTCCTTGAATACTGTTGAAAAAAGGCAATTTTATTGTGTATTATAAAGAGGGCCATGAATAAGTCAAAATGAATGCAATAATACGAGTTTAATAAAACGAGAGACACTTTTAGCTGTCACGAATCGGGAATTACTAAAAAGATGCAATATGTGTATTCTAAGTGAAGGGAGGCAGTTCGAACACTTACTAAAATGATTATCGTTATCGCTAATTGATTTCGTTATTATCATGTTAGTCGAGTTATAGTCAAAGTAACATATTTTTTGGTAATTTGAAACATTAATTTTAATTTGTACAGAAATATCGACTAGATAAAATTGAACAGACAATGAAATCATAACTGATGGATTCATTTTATTAAACTCGTATTATTGCATTCATTTTGACTTATTCATGGCCCTCTTTATAATATGCAATGAAATTGCCTTTTTTTATCAGTATTCAAGGAAAACTACAAGTGTGCTATATGGCTGAATTCAGAATTTAATGCAGAATTCAAAAACCAATTGAAAATACTGGGTTACCATTTTAAAAAAATTGGCGTCGATGTCGCGAAGCCCTAATGGATGACGCCTATTGCTGGATCTCTTCGCAAATAAGAGGACCCTTCGAAATCAAAATCATCTGCCTTCACGAAATATGGATATTCTCTCTCATTTTTCAGATATTTGCCCGCGGAGTTTTATATGGGACACCCTGTATAGCAATGTATCGTCAATTGTGAATAAATATCATTATTGAGTTGAATGAAATATATTTTTTAAAAAGATAAGTTTTCGTAAAAAAAAAGCATTTTGGCCTAGAACTTCTTCTTTATACAAAAATGTTGAAATATTCTGAAGGCAGGAAGAAAGCAATCAAGTTCAAAATAAATGATAGATTTCCACATTTTTTGTGCAAAGATGAATAAGTAAAAAGCCTATAAGTTTTTTGTAGGCAACTGCATCAATTACGTTAGTTACAGAGAAAACAAATTATTGTGACCTAAAATTGAAATTAATTAATTAGTTAAACAGTAAGTAAAATGTCAATAATAACTTGTGATGGGAAAATTCAAAGACAACATCTTCGGTAATGCGATTATGGAAATGATTGGTATATTTCAATTATATGAAAAAGAATCAAATGATTACTATGCAACCGTATCGTTATAGGTTGTTGCTCCATAATCTAGTGTAATCTGAGGGGATAGCGGGTATAATGCCTAACACGGTTCTATGTTTTGTGATCATTATGAACATAAACTTAATAAGATTTCTGTAACAATTACTTTGATAATTGTTGTTATCTTTGGAATAACTAGTAAATGTGTGAAATTGTGCAGGAAAAGTGTTATTATCAAAGGCACCCTTTTCATATTAAAGAACAAGAACCTACACTTTGAAGTGTTTTTTGTTTTCTAAGGCAAAACTAAGTAAAATTTATGAAATTCAGCAATAAATTATGCATTTTGGACTGTAACTTCTTTTGATATTGCAAACAAATAATACCAAAAACTCTAGTGACATGAAAATATTCGGAACATTGTTCCGAAAAAAGAATTAATTTGGTGAAACAGAAATGTTTTATCGCTTGAGAAAATTTAGGATAGTTGATTAAAGGTGTACAGTATGAGATACTAACAGAAGATGTAATTTTTCTTGTTTTAAGTACAAGAAGTGGTTTCCTCAAATAGATTTTTTGACATTTTTGACTTTTGGAAGAAAACATTTCCAAAAGTAGAAAGGACCTTTTGATTTCAGATTCATAATCAATGGACAATTTTATGTAAGTCCAATAATTTTTTTAAAAGTGAATAGTATATTCAAATAATTACCATTTCAACATATTATACTCATTCTCAATTTCTTCTCATTTTTTTGGCACTTAGCAAATGCATTTATCATTCAAATACCTATTTCGTTATTGACTGCCATTATAGAAACCAGAGAAGTATTTGAGGTAATACTTCGATCCAACTGTTCCAATGATATAATTCCATTGGACTGCACCGGAAGGTAAGTTATTTCAAATCCTTCATTTTCCAGAGCTCTGCAAGAGTCTAGCACACATTTATGTTCCTATAAAATAGTCTATATTGGGTATACTGAAATTTTCAAATTACAAATGAAAAATGTCACTAACAGTTTGTGTGGTGATAACATGTCTTTTTTTCACTCCATAAAACCTTGCTACTCCTTTCACTGCTATATTATTGCTTTCTGTGGCTCCAGATGTGAAAATAATTTCTTTTGGATCTGCACCAATTAAATTCGCAACATGCTCCCTAGCTTTTTCAACTGCCGTCTCTGTTTCCCACCCATACGCATGTGTCCTAGAATGTGGGTTCCCATAATAATTTGTAAAATATGGTAACATTGCATCAAGAACCCTAGGGTCCTAAAATACATATTTTTTCATGAGTACAGAAATGAGGAATGAAATTATAAATTAATACCATTGGTGTAGTGGCTTGTGCATCTAAATATAAAGGCCGTCCTTCGAAAACGTCAGTAATTTTGAATTTATCATCTGTAAATAATCAAATAATAATTTGTGATCAAATCTAACCTGTAAACATTTATAAAACCTACCTGTACCCAATTTTCGACAATATTTTGATGACACTAGATATTTTTTTGCATTGGAAAATAACGAGGTTGTCTTTTGCAACTTATTGAAAATTCGAAACATTTTTATACAACTTTTTTTTGAAAAACAAATATATTTTTCAAACACAAGTTGACAAGTCGCACGACAAACAGATTACCATAGACATTATAATTATTACGTCACTGCAGATGACATATAATGTTAACCCTATTTTTATCTAACTATATTTTTATAGTGGTTAGTGATTTTGTCAAAGATTAGTGGTGTATTTTACGTTCTGTGTTTGAAATGATCCTGTGAACTAGGAATGTTCCGTGCCTAGAGTCACAGGTCACAGATATTTAATATGTGCTAGAGCTAGCTACTCATAGAACCTAATACATAGAGATAGTCTGTGAGTGAAAAGAATAATTGATCGAGCCAAAAATATCTTATTTTTTAAATTAAAAATGAAAATTTCAGAAAAAATTTCATTATTAAAATTTTAGAAATCTTCCAGTGGAAATTTTAATATATATATTGTGTTAAAGAAAGATTTTGAATGCATAGCAATTTGGCAATGACTATTTTGCAGTGAAGAAAAGAGAATTGAAACTTTCTATGTTTTTTACCACTTTTATTTGTAACTGACGTTACTGCAGTTTCGTCCTATAAGGACATTTTCAAACTTATACATTAAAGTTTAATGTATAAGTTTAAACTTCAATGTATAAGTGTAAGGACATTTTCAAACTTATACATTAAAGTTTAATGTGTAAGTAAAATTTAATGTATGACTTTGAACTTTAATGTATAAATTTGAAAATTTCCTTATAGGACGAAACTGCAGTAACGTCAGTTAGAAATAAAAGTGGTAAAAAACGTAGAAAGTTTTAATTCTCTTTTCTTCATTATGATCTCCTACCACGTAGTAACGGCTACATCCATCATTTTACCATTGTATACAGACTTTTTGCAGGTCTGCAAGTCAGCAAATTCTCTCAGTAAACATAATCTCTCATATAATCTCTCATTATAGAATTTTTTTAACCCGCTGGGTGGGGTTGGAATTTTTTCTGTCGAAAAGAAATAATTTGGTCGAGTTTCTTATCTGAAATAAATCCTTAGACAATGTCTGGGAGTTCCAACCTGCAAGAGTTTCTGCCAACTTGCAAAAAATTTTCAATTTTGCGCGAAATGTGAAATTTTTTCATAACTGAAGAGTGGGAGTTCGAGATTCTCAACTGGGAAGCCCAATCTGCAAGAATTCCTGCCGACCTGCGAGGTATATTTTCATTTTGTGAGAAATGTGAAATTGTTTCATACGCGAAGGGTAGGGTTGGACATTTTTCTGTTGGAAATGATTATTCTCATAGATTTTCATATATTATCTGAAAGTCCCGACCTGCAAAAGTTTATACTGATCTGCAAAGTTTATTTTCAACTTTATGAAAATATGAAATTTGCTCATACTCGAAAGTTGGGACTTGGATTTTTTTTTTGTCGAAAATGATTAATCTGGTCGAGATTCATATCTGAGAGACTTGACTTGCAAACATGTCTGTCGACCCGAAAGGTTTACATTCAATCTTATAAGAAATTTTTTCTTACAAGATTACAAAAGCAATGTTTACTATCAACAATTTGCCGACCTGCAAAATAGTTCTTCCCATGACGGTGCAATTTCCATATGAACACATGAACCATGTTTTGTTAAGTTATTCCTAAAGAAACAACATAATTTCTTCTGCTCGCAAATGCGCAATTTAATACACCCCACCTAGTAAGTATATAGTTAGTTTAGCATTATATGAATAATTATATGAATTCGAAAACACTGCAATTCAAATACAACACAAATCAATACTTTTGGAGGCTAATTCCCACATTATTATTTGTGGAAGTAAAGATTATCCAAATAGTATTTACTATTTTTGAACACATTTTTGTGGAAAAATTAGAAACATTGCAGTATTTATAAGATATATTATACTTAAAATAATAACATTATTATAGAACTACCCTAACAAAACGATCCGTGTCAACCGAGAGGAGTAACATAGCAAATATAAAAGAATTCTTAATTTTGTTTCGAAATTTTATTCTATATAATGATGAAAAGATGGAAAGATTTGATGAATTTAATATTTCAATTTAACAAAAGATAGAACTGGAATCTCTCTGGAGCAAAATGAATGAATCCACCACAGACACCGCTACAAAACATCAGGAATGCAACAATTTGTCGTCTCACATTTCATCAGACAAATTAGCGTCAGCAGAAGATAATTATACTTATTTCAGTATGGTTCATCTAATGCAGACGCCAACTTGGATGATGAAACACGTGTCAAGAAGAGTGTTGATGCAGTTCTAGTGTGTGGGGTCACACTGCCTGTATTTATTTGTTTTCAAAACTTTACCCATAAGTATATTTGCCAAGAAACGAATTGCACAAAAGTATGATATTATCATCCACAATATAGGATAAAAGTGTCAAAACACTTCTTTTGGAGACAGTTTACAATGACAAACTCCTCTCATTAGAAACTTCTCAACATTTCCCTCTTGAAAGGTTACTATTGTATCTGAAGGAAAATTTACAGATAATTTTAAGCAACCCCTACTGAGAACTATGCGCTGAGGTTCTTTGATTCTAAATTGGTCGAAAGCATCTTCATTCTTCAGTTTCGGAGCCTTTTCTTTTCTCTCCCTGTTACGTTCTTTACTGGAGGAGGGCTTGCTTTCAGATTTTTCCTTAATTATGGGTAGAGGCTGATGTTTTCTTACTGGGACAGATTTGCTGCGAAACCTGTTCACAGGTATTTTTTCAGGTTCCCAAGGGATTCTCTCTTCAGGTATCTGAAACACAAAGTATTGCCTATTATTATCTAGTTTAAAAATGATACAAAATTAGTATGCCTGGTATCTTAGTATAGCGAAAAGTGTTTTATATATGGCTAATACTTTCATTTCAATCCAGTGGCGTATACAACTTCATTTCCTGGGGTGATAAATAATTTTTGGGGGAATTCATGTCCAAATCAGGTCAGAATATTCTCTTAGACATGTAATGGATAGCTATTAGATAACCCACAGAGGACTTGAAATGGATATCCTATGGACATCCAAAAGATGGTGCTAAATTACAGTGACAATTTTCAAAATTCGTACATAACAATTAATGAGTTTCTTTAAATGTATAACAACAATTTTATAAGTGTTTTTTTATTCATATAGTTATGTGTTGTCTTGAGCTTTTATATGGATAGTCTATATACAAAAGTTGGACCACCAGAGTTGTTGAATACATTATAAATATACCTCTGAAGAACAGTTGGTTGGGTAACATGATCAATTTAATTAATTTCTTCTTCAGGGCTTGAAAAGTAGTTTCTTCATGGTGATATTACTATTTTAAAAATCATTAATTTGGCATATTAGATACATGGTTTTTAAAATAGTTCAAAATGGTAATATTAACATGAGGAAACTACTTTTCAAGTCCTGAAGAGACAATAATTGAATTCGGTCGGCAAGAAAACAATAGTTTATTAAGAAAAAAATCATCCTGTTACCCAACCAACCTTTCTTTAGAAAAATTATTGGACCACTAAATTAGTTAACTGATTATAAATATATTTTACTAACATACATACTTTTATTTCTTTAGTTTTTTTGGGAGTACAAGCAACACACTTCAGTTTTCTATTCTTTGGCTTATAGTCATCATCTTCTTCAATATGGGTGAAGTCCAATTCAATAAGATCTTCAATTTGGGGTACAACATTATTGTATATGGGAATTCTGTTTAAAAAATTTGGCTGAGGAGTCCTCCACGTATTATCTATTCTTCTTGTTCTCATGATGTAATTCAGTTTTTTTAATAATAAGTAATTGCCCTCTTCAATATTTTTGCATCTTTCCTTCTCTTTCTGTAGTTTTTTCAGTTTCATAGAAACATGGTCTCTGCAATGTGGAGATCCAGAATCTATAGCTGGCAAAGCAGACTTCACCTGTAACATTTAAAACTCGATTCACCACATAATTTTTGCTAAGTGAAATATTTTTTGGTGTCTTTCATTTTTGTGTCAAGGAAAAAACGTTTCTTTTGTATTCCGACATTTTAATTGAGAGGAGCTTGATGCTTGCTTCTGTTGAAGATAGGGTGGGTAAAACACAAACTACTTGTTATGAGTAGTTTCATTTGAGTTTATATTTTATATTATTTTATAGAGTATATAAGAAAGTTTATCAAGCATTTGGTTTACCTGATATGAAAATCTGTCTTCTCAAAAATAGTAAATAAGTTATTGGTCATGATTATTTTTCTATTTCAAATTTGAAACAAAATCTTTCAATTAGTACTACAAATATTTCTTTTATATTTTTGTTAATTTTTCAATATCCCCTATAATGTTCAATTTAGTTCAAATTTATGTTTTTTCTGTAATTTACTTTTATAAGCAAACAGAAAAACTGTGAATACTTCTATTCAGATTAGGTAGTATAAAATTGTATGTAGTACTAATTTTACCTTTTGGCGGTGGTGGTCAAATTTTCTTTGCTGCCACGGTCTCATTAATAAATTTTCTTTTCTGGATATCATTATGGAATGTCAAGAATGTAAATATTATTTTTCATAGAATTTAGATTTTAATGCGAAAATGATAAAAATGTTTGTGTAATGATGGTTGCCTAGGAAATGGACCATAATGACACCATTTATGAAGTCCCATCTGGAACAGCGAAATCAATAAAACCATTTTATATACAGGGGTGTATATACAATGATAAAACCTTTTTTTATAGACTAATCATGAAATCATTGTCTAAAGTAGACGATGATAAAACTTTACAAACGTTCTATTTTTCATAAAGATGTACTCAAGTAAACTTTTATATATGGTAGGGTCTAAAAATAACCAAATGCTAACCGATAATAACCGAAAATGTTGACACATTCGGCATTCAAGTTCAAAAATGAGTTTTTATTGATGAATTACTCGTTAGTTGATTTATTACTTCTGTTCATTGAGGTAATTTGCGAATGAAGGGGGAATCTGCTGGAATTCCCAAAAAGTATTTTCAAATTCTGGTGAATAGAATGATATCATTGAAAAAAGACTGATAGTTTTGAGTCCTAAAATAAGAAACTTTGTCATTCAAGTTGTCAATTTTCATACTGAATCAGGGTTAGACCAACGTATCAGTCACACTACTCTTTCCTCAATATTTGATTTTTATTCTTGGGTGTCAACGGCATCGAACTGCTTGTCAGTAGACTCGTGTTCTGGGTAGACAAAGAGTTAATAACTCACATAGCCTCTTGGAGAGCATCATAGCTATTCGCATTATGGTAGTCCTATAACGTTGCAATATCATCCCAACTTCAACTAGTTAAGTCCTCTCAAGAAAAATATCTGGTCGAGGTTGGGATCGATCTCACGACCTTTCGAATTGGACAAAGAATAAACATAATCAGTATAGAAAAAAAAATAGAGAAACACTAACTTGTAAAGACAACAAATTATTGTGACTTGAAATTGGAAGCAATAATTGAATAGATCGAATAATAAGTTCTGATCAGTAATATGTAAACAATAAAAATAAAGAATATTGCTGGAGTTTTTTCCCCACACCAAATCGTTATTTTTACACCTCGACACGTGTTAATTTGCATGGTCGCATATATAAAATTTATTTCATTCATATGTAAATTACGATAGAAACACGACAACCGACTTCACGCCCCTCTCGCAGCAGTAATTTTCGTGGTTGCTCTCATTTACCGCTTACGCGTTCACATTTGATTACCTACTCTCATTATATTCAATGTTACCTCAGAGTAATAATATAATATTACTCTGAGAATGTTACAGTATCGCCATTTTCCATTTGGCGACCGTACAGTATATACCGTGCGTTCCACTAAGCGCTCTCTCCTTTAGGCGGCGGACACAACGGAGCGCTGTCCGACCATAGAATCGCACCATAGCTCCGCTCACCATAAAAAATAAGTATACAATTATAAATCGGTGTGGCAACATCGGAGCGCCGACCGTAGCTCCGCGCATAGGACGGAGCTAAGGCCTGTACATCGTGCCAGGGTAAAAATCGAGCTTAGTATTTTTTGACCCTCGACCAGAGTACTTTGCATTGAATCGCCGCCGCCGCTACAATGGACAAAGAAAAGCTGATCGGGCTTGTGTTTATTCGCGAGCCTATTTAGAACAAAAGAGAGAAAAATCATCATAACTGCATTATTCTAAATAAATTGTGGAATGAAATATCAAATGAGTGTGATGTTCCAGATAAGTAAAACATTTTTATTCAAACATAACAGTTTATTATTTAGTTTTGTTGCATTAAATAAATTTTAAAATTTTCTCGTACAAATTTTGCTTCGTCCTTTAACCTTCCACCAGCTTATCGTTGTTCGTTATTTCGATTGTGTTTGCCAAACGTAAAATCTTGTAGGTTGTGTGCCTTCTACATCAATTATTATTTTATGTAAAATACAAATGTGTTTGACAATTTTGTCTGCTAGTGCAACATCTGTCTGAATGGGTTTATCTAAAATTTGCCCTTTTGCACGGAGAATACCAAACGCACATTATACGGTGCGTCTTGCACGAGATAAACGTTTATTAAAATTTTCTGTTTCGCTGTTCAAATTGTTTTTACTATAGGGTTTAAGTACATTTTTCATCAATGGATAAGCTTCGTCACCAATCATAACATATGGCATAACTAAATTTGAGCCTGGAAGTGGACTACTGTCTGGTAAATAAAGAGTGCCTTGCGAGAGCTTTTTGTACAATGGGAAAGCTTTAAATGTACCACCGTCACTTTGCTTACCATATCCTTCGACATCAATATTAACAAACATGTAGTGTGCGTCTACTAAAGCTTGAAGTACGATGGAAAAATATCCCTTGTAGTTGAAAAACATTAAACCAGAGTTAATGGGACAACGCAAACGGATATGTTTTCCGTCAAGTGCTCCCACACAGTTGGGAAAATTCCAATTTTTATAGAAATCGTCAGCAATTTTTATAAAATTATCCTATGTGGGAACTGACATATGTTTTTTAAAAAAGGCGTCCCATAAAAATGCCGTAACTTCTATAACAATATTTGTGATTGTGCTTTTTCCCATTCGAAATGAAAACGCTAAGCTTCTGAATGAGATGCCGGTGGAAAGAAACCTAAAAAAAATAATATACCTACAGTAAAATTGTTGAAGCTTTCGTGGCCAGTGTTTAAACTAAAAGGGTTTCTAGTCGGGATAAAGGCTGTCGTTGGGTAAAATTTTTTCTTTACAGAAGGAAGGAATTCCAGTCAATGACGGCCTTTAATCCCGACAAAAACACTTTTATTTTATACCTATCGTGTTTGCATAAAGTCTTCATTAAAATATTAATAACTTGGTTAGTTTATTATTTTACTGTAAGATAGTTTGCATTTTTGAATACCCATAAACTTTTTTTAGTTGCCACTGTAAAAGCAACATAGAAGAGACTGAGACAAACTTCTATACAAAAACTGTCAGAAGAACCATTGAAAAGGTCTGGTGATGGGGCAGATGATGATGCATCTGCCCCATTTTTTGATTCTCTTTTATTTTTAAAAGACACCTGCCCCCCTCGGGCAGATAATGCCAACAATACCTTGTTGGGCGACGCTGACGGCAGTAATTTGAGCGACGCCGCAGACGTTGACGATGACGTTGCTGATGACAGCTCATCAAAACTTACTGTTTCCGAGCCTGCTTTCGATTCCAGACCAGCATCGTCGATGAGTACGTCAACACCGATATTTAAAAAGGCTAAAATTCAAAGAATCTCGGGTAAAAGAAATGCACTGGATGAATCACTTATTCGAGTAGAAGAGGAAATAATGGAATACCTAAGGAGAAAAGAAGAATATCGACAGAAAAGAGAGAAAATAGCTGAAGCAAATACAAGTAGAAAAGAAATAGATGAAGACGAGTCATTTTTAATAGCATTTTGCCGCATGTAAAAACATTTGATGCAAGTTCCGAAATGCAATTTCGAATAAGTGTGCTTCAACTTGTACAGAAATACCTACCACAAACACAAGGAAATAATGCACAATCATCTAGTGAACAACAGACGCAAGTAATAGAACAACACCAAGAAACAACAAAAAAAAACAAGATACAATCCTCTACGGAACCTCATTTCACAGGTTTACCATTTCAACAAAATAAACTTTCAACATCAAGTCATTCATCAACTCATTTGGCTTATTTTCCACAAAATCAATTCTACAACCTTGGCAACCGAGCAACATACCCAGCAGAGTACAGCAATCCTAGACCTAATATTCATTTTGAAAATTAAAATGTTTTCATATATTCGTATTAGAAAAAACGTTTAAAGAAATGTTTAACGTTAAATTTCATATATTTTTGCTAAAAAAATGTTTAACACTTTGTTTTATATATTTGTAATAAAAAAAATGTTGTTCAGTATATTTGGGTGTTTAAATAAATATTTTGTATTAACTTACCTTAAAGTTATCATGAGTCTTTCTTTAGATCCAAATGGTTGACAATGGCAATTTTGGTAATTTTTCTTTAGTTTATCTCCAAATTCGTTTAAAATATATTCAAAAGTTTCTATTTTCATTCTCATGTAGTCAAAAAAACGGACAGGGTCTTTTCGTAAATCTTCATACAGACGATGAAATTCTCCATACGACATGCGTTTTTTGTTTAGGGGATGTATTTTCGTATTTAGATACCTTTGATATAGGTACAATTTTTTAGCACTAGAATTCAGAATAATACCTTCTTCATCTGATGAAGAGGATATCGAGAAATCCATGTTTATGCGACGCTTGTTCACACCAAACTGGTGCAAAAATGCAATGCTCAGCGCCGCGATGTGACCACTAGGCGCGTGGGTCGAGGGTGCTATGGTGCGATGCTATGGTCGGAGCGATGGTCGGCGCTCCGTTGTGTCCGCAGCCTTAGACGTCCGCGGTCGTTGTGTTCGCTCAACGATTATGGACATACAGGATTGGTTACTTTTGCGATTTTGTTAGACACGTCACGTGATCTCGTGACGTAACAGTGGTGACTGGATTGATTCGGTACTGCACTTTTAAATTAAAATAAACAAATTTCATGCAATCCTTATAGGATTGAATACTTAATATAAATGGGAGTAAGAGGTTTCATAAGTTTTTTATTTATATATTTGAATTGTTTTTTTTTTGCATGAATGTAGAAAAATTAATTTAAAGCACTAATGTATTACTATATTTAATTTTCGATTTGTTTCCATTATCAGAATTGTTTGAATTTTTTCTTTCAAGTGACCTATTTTCGTCAGCCTTTAAGTTATTATATTTCATTCTGATAATTGTTCTTAGTTTGCAAAATTCAAAAATAATTTTTAAAGGAAAATCTTCCCTTTTTGCAATTTTTTTTGAAAGAGTTTTTACAACTCCTGCCCCTTTTCTAAATCCATTTAAATGATGTTTTTCGAAAAGCTTGTTTCACTTTTTATTTTTTTCGAACCAATTATCTGTGGGTTTAATAAGACCTCCCAATGAAAGTTGCTGGACCCAAGAAAATATATGATAATTATGATCTTCTGCTTTTATTTTATAAGTATAATCGCCCAAACCAGGTGGATCATTTTTATGCTTTTTAGCAAAGTATCCAGCAATATATTCTCAAGAGTCCTCTGTTATTTCGTTAAAGTCAACTGATTGCTTTTGCAAGTTGACACTGCACAAATACCGCCAGGCATTTTAACTAAAAATGACAAGATTATTTAATGGTTAAACAATTATTGCTATTACTTACCAAAATGTGAATATTTCCAGTTCAAAAAACAAAAAAGTTCCCCAATGGCAAAAAACAAATCTCAAAATGGAAGAAAATAACAGAGTCTTGTATGGCGTCTACTCGTTACACCAGTTTAAAAAATGTCCAAAAGCACAAAAAGTACGACTTTCACAATAACAAACTCAATGTTTCAGAAACCTAATTGGTATTGTTAAATAAAAATTTATTCAAAATAAACAAAAACAATGTAATACTGTCCGAAAATAATCCTCAAAAAATGTTAAAATAACACACAGTCTTATGGCAGCTACTAAAAGTGTCACCAGTGTTACGTCACATCTGCTCGGCGTTTAACGTGGCGATATATGTAAGTAAGCAATCCTGTATGTCCATAATCGTTGGTGTTCGCTCACAACGACCCATCTTAAGAGGTGGGTCAAAAAGGACGTTGAAAATATATCAGCGCAATTTTTGAAATTGTTTTGGAAATATGACATTTAAAGCTTAAAGATAGCGACAAGAAATTTAAGAGTAGCATAGATTCAGGGTATAATCTAGGTGTGCAATTACACATGACATTTTTAAAATCTATAGTGATAAAAAATCGTATACCAAAAATGACATTTGAATTCTTCTTCTGAATAACGATAAATTACATTTTATAATCAACAATGCGTGGTGTAAGTTTTTGTTTTCACTATTATAGTTTTGCAAAGTTGTATTTCACTCTTCATCAGATCTAGGTAAACTAGTTCCTGGAGCATTATGGCGACGTATCAACAAATATTAACCTCGCCGTTTGTAATGTTTACATAAACACCCAAAACGCTCCATAATTCATTCTATTTGAGTTTACGATAGTAATGCTCGAAGCAAGTGGAACGGAAAAACTACGGTCGTGAAAGTGGTCATTGTGAACGCTTAGTGGAACACACTATAAAGGAGCATTTCGATCGTTATGAGCGCTTATTGGAACGCACGGATTGTTGATCTATCAAATGCTACTGGTCATTTCGTCATTTGTCATGTTGTCAATGTAATTTCAAATTGACGTTTGTAAATAGTCAACAAATGGTAATGAAATTTTCTTCAGATTTTTAAAAAAAGGGTTGAAATGGATCTAGGAGATAATATAGAAGCACCTGGCGTATCAGATTTAATTCTGAAGCTATGTAATAACCTATCTAAAAACGATCAAGGTACAACATGAAGTTAACTGTGAAAACAATGCATTTTGAAATGCTTTTTCAGTTGTAGCATCCAAATTGTGTAAAACAGCTTTCAAATTCCTCTCCTTATCTTCCTCAACACCAACGTTTCCGCAGACTGCAAGCGAAGAATACATTGTTACCCAGATTCGGCATTATTTGTCTTCACAATCTAAAGAAAAACTAGATAATTTTGAAGTTTTATACTCCAAAATTTGTGATTCAGTAGGTTACAAGTTACCCAAAATGAAGTATTATTATTATCATTGTGAAACTTTTTCAGAGTAATCTTCAACACAGGTGGGCCTCGTTGAGTTTTCTGTTTCATCTATCACAGGATTCAAGAAAAAAAGTAAAAGATGAAGTGTTGCCTTTCAATTTGGTGTCAAAAGAACTACCAAGATTGAAATCTCAATTAGGCATTGCTAGTTCTAATAGTCATGAAAGTGTACGGCACCTATATGACAGTAGGGATAAGAAAAAAGTTAATAACAATTCACATTCTACTGCATTGGCAGCTACAAGAGTTCACTCACAATCTACAACAGTATCTTCTATGTGCTGGTCAAAAAATGATATTCCCACATCTTCAAGGCTGTCAAGTAAGTTCAGGTTATAATAGCATGTAAAATGGGTTCAAAGAGTTGAATAGGCTTTCTCCAATAACCACCTGCAGTCTTCATACGAGTAACAACCTAAAAAAATGGAAACACCCACCATCTTAAAGTAGGGATCAATTTCACGATTGTTGTTGATTCAATGAGTAGAATTAGCTTCTCGCACTAACCCACACCATCTGACCAAATTATTATATATTATATTTTGATATAATTTATCCTGACTTGTCACTTTTTGTGAGAGAATGATCAGTTGATATATTTTCAAAAAATATTCATAAACAATGATTTGATAATTCCCCCTGTACCATTATCATCTGAAAAATATTCACTTTCCTGGTGAACACTTGTAATGGGCTTTCTTGCATGTATGGCTATTTTCGTTCAAATGTTGACAAAAACCCTTCTATTCATCATTTCAAAGATACATGTTCACTCTCTTCTTCAAATAAAAATGTTTATACTGCAATACTTTTACTCAAATTGCAACAGATTTTTACATCATATAAAATGTTTTCTCGGAAGTCATTGACGTCACAAGTCGGTTGCGTCATTATCCGCCATAATTAGTAGTCCTCGCTGGTGTCTGAATTAATATAAGTTGCTTACCGTTTCAGACTTCCATTACAGTTTTCAAATCTATCATTCAACCACATTTCGATTACTGTGCTACTTTACTATCACAACTTGATGCAAATTGTTTGTCGACATTGCAAAAACTACAGAATAGAGTCATGCGCCTAATTTCAAGATATAAATATGCCAACTACAACAATGTTGGAAGTTCTGGATTGACTTTCTGTAAAAGACTGTCTGTTCTATCTTACTATGGTATTTATCTTCAAAATATTGTCCGGTAAATCACCCTCATATTTTGACCAATTTTTTGTTTTCCATCACCAAATTCATAATTACCCCACTAGGGGGATTTCTAATTTATATGTACCACGTTTGAACTTTACACGACCCAGGAACTCCTTATTCCATAAAGAACTATTGACTACAATAACCTCCCGCTTGAGATAAAACAAAATGAATCTATTATGACATTCAAAAAAGAACTTACTAGTCATTTGAAGATACAACATCCACATTAACGTTGATATTATAATAACATATATATCTAGTATTTGTAATGTACATTGTTATTTTTTCTATTTATTGAATGCTTGGATTATTCCGAGCATACACCTTTTAGTGTTATGAAGTTGGGCTGTGACTTTGTTCATCCAATTTTAAAATGTTTTTGTATATTAGGATGCCTATTTGAAATAAATATATTATTATTACAATCACATCAAATCTGATATATTTTCATATTCTAGGTTTTTTGTGGGAACAATTTTTTGTTGATTCATTCAACAAATCTGACAAATAATGTTTATGAAGAATATTTCATTTTCAACATTGAATGTTATATTTTCTTCAAGTTGGTGCTATGAAGCAAAGTATATTTATTCAACTGGTAATGTTCTGAATGAACGATGTCTGATTTATTTGCCTAACATAGTTTTGATTGAGCTTGCTTGGTACTAATAGTGCTTTGCAAATGTGTAATTTAAAAAGTCGCAGTGCAAAGTCGAAAATAAATTTTAAAAAAGTGTGGAAAATTCTAAAGTACACGTCATTATTTTCTTTTTATAAATAATACATCAGAAAATTCTCAACGTAAATATATTCCACTCTTCGGAGCGCAAAAGCATGTGAATGAAAAATTTGTGGATATATTTCTTTTTCTGATGAACTATATTATTACTTGGCATTACGCTACTATCGCGGGGAATCCCCAGTCAGACACTTCAGGACTTTCTCTTAATAGAAAGCCAATCAAATTATGCCATGCAGACGCAATCTCGCTTCATGTTCCTATATTATAAATTCTGAAAATATTTGATGTGAGAATAAATAATAGTGTTGTATAGTTTCAAAACGATAATACTTTTTTAATAAGTAGAAATTCGGACTGCCCATGAAAAAAATTATAAACACCTATGTTTATTTTATTTATCAAGAATAAGATAAGTATTGATTATACTTACACTCATGTTTTTTGTAGTTTTCTTGACAGAACGTTACATGAATAAAAATTATGTCTTAATACAATTTTGGTGCTTTTATCATAATTTATCGTTGGCTTCTACCGAGCAACGTCTAAGTTGGTAACGAATTACCAACGGATCTCATTAATGAGAAGACTTAACAAATTGTCTGTGGTCTGGATTCATGGCCACACTGGCCTAGATGGCAATGAGGCTGCTGACTCCTTTGCAAAGAAGGGTGCTGCAAGTAGCTTCATTGGATCAGAACCTGTCATTGGCATTGCTTTAGGTTGAACACCTGGATGGCAAGAAGACCTGCCAAAATCTTTCAGGATTGGCTCCCTCTAAGGTGTTCATTCACCCTTCAAAGCTTGAATCCAAACAGTTTTCGGACTACAGTAGGGATGAACTACGATGTCAAACAGGCCTCCTTACAGGTCACTGTCGTCTGAAACATCATATGCAGAGACTCGGCCTGTCGGAAGACAGGCGCCTCTGTTTAGAAAATGATGAAACAGCAGAGCATATACTTTATGCCTGCCCCTCTGCTGACCGAATCAGGTTTTCAGAAAGATCACTCACTATATAAACATTACATTATAGATGAATTACTTAATTCATGAATGAAGTGTGTGTATTTTTTATAATGTTATCCAATTTGGTACTGAAGAGCCTTAGGGCAAGTGTTTTGAGGCGAAACATCGGTGTATACCAGTGGGGGTGACAGTGTTCTATGTGAGTACAATTTATACCATTCATTCAAAGTAGAACTCATGTGAATGATATCTGATTCTTATTCCACAACAAATGTTTGAAATACATTTTGTATCAGATGGAGTAGTAGAAAGCCAAAAACTTTCTTACTTGTAGCAAGATTTATAGAAGAATAACATTGTTGAGACGTACTTTTCAACATCCTGATCGAATGTCTCGGTGGGCACAACGGAAAATAATGGACAGTCTTCGAGAAAAACGGCTCAAAGTCGGCAAAATAGCGTGTGAGAAAATGAAAACTAGAACCTGTCACAAATAAGCAGTGTTTCATCATTTTTTCAATTGTCCTATCATTCCTTTACGGAATAATGTATTCACCATAATCCTACATTGATTTTTATTCATCATATAAATTTACCAACCATTTCATTATAGCATTCCTATATTGTCACATAGTTTTATCTACTTCATCCGCTACTGAACTAATATTTCAATCGGTATCATGTTTTTTTGATCAAGTTACCAGTTGTCTATTGGTTGTCATGATGACATCATTAGTAATGTCTGTACTCATGTAATGTATACATGGTAAATAAAAGATTTTTCTAAAGTTTGAATCTTTTGCCTGTTTATTTGATATTTCATACCTCTCCGCTAGCTTTTATTCAAAATCAAAGACATTGTTTCATATACAACAATATTATCCATATATAACGAATGGCAAAATTAGATGTGGTGAATAATGAAGAAAAACGGGAGATTGCTATACAACAAAGTGAAGAATCAGGACCACCAGATATTCCCATTGACAACTTCACAAGACTATGCCTGAATTGTAATAGGGCAGTAATGGAAGACCACTGGATGTTTCTCATGCTTGCATACATTACTTCGATGAGAACGGTTTTTTCTTGAGACAAATTCTTCCTGGGATGCAGTTTCAATTTTCGATTATGTAGAATAAAAAAAAGGAACTTGGTGGCTTTCTTGCAAAAACTTGGGAATGTACAGAACATGGCACAATGGGATTACCAGGATGAAGAGAGTTTCACAGATGAAGAATTCAAATTGATGATTCCAATGAATAAGGATCAGTTCCGGAATATCTATACCTACTGCAATTCTGTACTAGTGGAAGGTGGAGACAGATATATTTATAAAAAAGATCTGGCTTCTTTGTTGAAACTTAAACAAGTGCTCTCCGACGACTTTTTGAAAGATATTTTCAAATATACCTTTCAGCAATGCACAACTATGGCAATTTCATATGTGAGAAGATTACTTGCACAAAGATTCGTCCCAGAAAATATTGGTTTCGGTTCAATCACTCGGGAACAATACATTCAACTCCATGTTAATTAGTTCACAAATATATTATATAGGTAATCCAAATCCTGAACAGCGTAAAGCCATTGCATATATAGATGGGACCTATGTAAAGTGTGAAGCACCCCCTATATATCAATGGAATCATTTTCTATATAACCATATCCATATCCATTGACTAATTGTGAGAAAGTAACATTATGAAAACAATAGTTTTCATAGTGTTATAAAAATAATTTTTTCATTCTTCTGATTATGGCTTTATATGTCTGCAATTATTGGCAAACGGTGCTGTAAAGACACAAGACCTATGAAAGAATTGCTAAAGCGCGTGGAGACTTTTGATCTGGACATTGAAAAGTTCTTCATACAAAAAAATCAGCAGAATTCACCGAAAGCCATTTTATATAAGGTATGTGCGTGGTCCTTTATAACGTAAACCTCAATGCGAGTTTGAATCCCGGTCAAGTAATATTTTTTCAATTTAGTTTTTCATTCATATGTCTGCATATCCGAAATTTAATCTTTAGAAAATATTACAGAAGCTAGTTTGTCTTGTATATGTAAAGTAAAGTATTTATTGATTATCTATTAGATCATATGAAGTATGATATTATAATAAGTCTAGGCAGTGAATTTCAGGTATTTAGAAAAAAACAACTGTACAATAATGCAATTTACACAGAAGAAAATAAATAAACTAAATCTAAAATTTGAGTGGTACACACCACAAAGCAAGTTTGACTCTAACAATCAGTTGAGATAAAACAAATAAAAAAATATATATAAAATTTTTTTTGGGCTGAAAACCTTCAGAGAAATATTCATCAATTATATAAAAGGCTTCATTCAGCAGTACTTGTTTTACAGTTCTTTTAAAATCTACCACGATGAGCTTCTCAATATTTTCTGGCAATTCATTGAACACCTTTATTCCCATTAATTTAGAACTATATTTTGTTGCTGTTAATCTGTGCGATGGTATTTCAAAGAAATGACTTCTGGTATTATAATTTCTGACTCAGTGTCGTGAAGAAATTCAAGTTTGTTTTAACATATAGTAGTAGTTGGTAGATGTAGATTAAGTTAATTCCTGTTGTGTTGAAGTAGTTCTTCAGTTATTTTTTTCAGGAGTTCCTTTAAAATGGTTTTCTTTCATGTTTCTTCTTGATCCATTTCCTGAGAATACTCAAAAAGTAATAACAACCAAATTGTTTTTAAATAGCCAAAAAAAATAATTAGTGACAAAAAAATATTGAATATTCATCTTGTTACCTGAAAACGTTGAATCAGAAATTGGCTACTGTTTAATGTGTTCATGTTGTAAAAACAACCTAAAGAGACAAATATCTAATTATCTATCCATTAACGTCATTCTTGTTGTGTATTCTAAGAAATCATAAAAAAAAGTATTTATATTTATCTGATGAGTATGTTTTTTTCTTTCAGACCTGGCCAGCGTAACCGAACAAGATCTTCTTCAAGATGTCATTTATTCATTTCAAGGTATAGAGGGTAAATTCTTGAGGAAAGAACCAGGTGGTCTAGGATTTACTATAGATCCCAAAGCTGGTAAACTATTGACACCCATCCAACGAGGCATTCTCGAAAGATTGACTGGTATTAGCTTCTTACACAATCAGTTGAAAAGGTATTGTGAGGATAACGAGAAACAAAGGGGAATAATTTGTCAGGCTTTGATTGCTACCGTGAGCGATGAACTCTCTGAATATTATAAAACTGTTGCATTGCTGCAAGCTGGAGTAAGTAGTATTATAGTAGTATTATAAACATTATTGTATTAGGTAGTCCATTTGTAACAAATAAGATATGAGTTTCGAATGAAAAAGAAAAAAACCTATTTTTTTCTTTATATTTTCAATAGTTTGTTCATATAAGGCATGTAGGGTAGGCCATTAGTGCGAGAAAGTCCAACAGTGACGTTAGCCAAGATATATAAAAGTTTAGTAAACCATTAAGTGAAATTTCATAATAAAGTGTTATTTGATTTTGAATACTTTAAAATGGATCAGTTCCATCACATACACAGTTGAACATCAATTATATTTCCTAATTACTACATTTACATAATATCATGACACATGGGTTTTTGTGAATTATATAAATAGTAATAGGCTGGTTTTCGTTCTCTTTAATTGTGACTCCGACCACAATAAAAATCAACCAGTAAGTCCACTCCCACTACTTTCATTCATAAATTCACAAAGTTCTCCGTGACCTCGAAACGAAGTGCAGAGCCAATTTCGTTCTTTTTACCATAGGCGTGCGCTCATATAATAATGTCTTTTTTACATCTCTCATTTTCTAATCACTTAGTAATAAAACAAACAACAATAACCAACTACAAAAACTAAAAACAATGATAACAACAGCGAATAAACTAAACACAATATCAATTTCCGACCGTTTATTATAACTAATCCGATGCCCGTGGTACCGTATAATCCTTCGATACTACAGCACTGAACGCGTTGGATGAGAATCTCATCCTAAGAGCGGTCGAAGGTCCCCGGCAACTCGGGCGGATCACGTGGTAAGAGAGCCTACTGGTTGTATTATTCTACTGTTGTCCGACCATGAAAGCCTATGTTCTTATAACACTTTTGATGTATGTTGAATTATTATAATAAAGTAAGCAAACTTTTCAGGAATTTCATATATTATGTTTTTTTAGGCAACTCGACAAGGTTCAATTGAACGCTCCGATACAACTTTGAAGAGAGCTTTGTTTGTGATGCATGATCATCACAGCCGATTCGAATGGCTAGCATATATTGCTGAACAGTGTAGTGACAAAAAGGGGGGTGAACTTATAACTTCCATCCACGGATTTTTGCAGCATGGATCAAAATGTGCTCAGGAGGTGAATTTATAGTTTTTATCAGTTTTTGCAACTTTGGTTTTATTACCCATTAAAAATTGCTGAACTCTATTATTATACAGAGATATATAAAAAAATTAAAAAATTAAATTGACTTTTTCATAAATGTATATCACTTAGTGAAATAGATTGTTATAATAAGCCATCTTTAGGTATCAGAACGGGTTCTTAAGGCAGTTTGCAAACCTTTGTATATCATGCTGTCTCGTTGGCTACTTGACGGGGAAATAAATGATCCTTGCAATGAATTTTTCATCGAAGCTAAAACAATAACGTCTGCTGAAAGATTGTGGCATGATAAATACCATGTAAGGCAGGCCATGGTTCCTTCCTTCATAACAATGTCCCAAGCAAAGAAGATACTTGCTACTGGAAAAAGCATCAATTTTTTGAGGCAGATATGCAAGGATGGGGGTCAACTACCTGGTAGAGAAGCACTTCAGAAACTTTTCAGAACAACTACAGGTTTGTTGTCTTCCTTTTTTTTAGTAAAAAATGAGAAATTCATCTTCAGGAAAGAACTGTAATGAATTCCGATAAAAATATTCAACCTATGAATGTTAATACATAAAATTTCTTTCTTTTAATTGTGTGGTTGTTATTTTTAGCTGAAGCTCTGTTCGCTCCTGAGCAGAGTATAGAATTCCATGCAACTTTGGAAAATGTTTATCAGGAAACGTCTTTACGAGTATTGGACCTTCTGAAAAATAAATATAAGTTATATGAACATTTACAGTCTTTGAGAAGATATCTACTTTTGGGCCAAGGTGATTTCATCAGGCATCTACTAGAACTTTTAGTGTGAGTATCCGAACTGATCATTGAAGTACAACCTTTATTTTCATCAACCCTTTGAAGGAAAGATGCATTGAAGAAATATTATCTTTTTTTATTGTCCTTCTCGGGGACTTTTCGCCTTCAAAATTATGATATTTTGGAGACCTAAATCTAACATATGTGAGCATTTATCAATAGGAGATGTTTGTGCTAAGAGATTATCAGAACCAACCTCACTGATGAATTAGTAAAAATATTTGCGGAAAACCAAATGGCTTGGAAGCTCTTGGCTATCACTCACGGAATAACATTTAAATTGGTATTGAGCTGCCAAAAAAAGACTGTCCTCAATAAGGAGATTCAACAAACCGTTTTTGGTCTGGATTCCTGGCTATACTGGTCTGGAAGGTAATGAATTTGCTGACTTCCTTGCAAGGGAGCGTGCTGCAAGTGGTTTCATCAGACCACTTTAGGCTTTGCCAAACAAACACTGAACACTGCAAAAAGTTTCAGACTCCTGCCATAATCTACCTGGATTGATCCATTCCAAGGCATTTAAATATCTTTTGAATTGTTACCAAACAATTGGTAGACTACTGCAGACCATGCATTTCATTAGTTCGGACTTCCATTGTCTAATATGATATGAATTGATTTGAAATCTCTGAAAGAATCTGTAAAAAAATTAAAAAAGGATTAGCAGAAAAATAACAATTATACCAAGCAAAAAAAAGTGAAATCACAATGAAATAAAATACAAGCAGCAACAAAAAAAAATACAAAAAGAAATAACTATCAACACGAGATGAAATTAAAAAATTATTAACAAGAAATGAAAAATTTGGTTTGGATTCTTTTAATTTTAAATTTTCATTTCTTGTTAATAATTTTTTAATTTCATCTCGTGTTAATAGTTCTTTTTTTTGTATTTTTTGGTTGTTGCTTGTATTTTATTTCATTGTAATTTCAGTTTTTTTGCTTATTATAATTGTCATTTTTTTCAGCTAATCCTTTTTTAATTTTTTTAATAATTTTTTCACAGACTCTTTCAGGGATTTCAAATCAATTTATATCATATTAGACAATGGAAGTCCGAACTAATGAAATGCACCATAAAACATTGTCAACCACCTTCAAATAAATAGCAGACCATGTTGTCTAATAGGCCTATTCATAGGTCACTGTCGTTTAAGTCTTGAAATGTCGAATAACACAGCATGCCATCTCTGTTTGGAAAATGATGAAACAGCAGAGTGCATACTTTGTGCCTGCCCTACTGCAAATTAAATCAGGTTTGCAAAGTTTCACTATTATTACCTGAAAGATCATTCATCATATAAGCTAATCGGCTTCATCAAGAAGCCACAATGAACAGTGGAATAGAATAGAATAGAAGTTTATTCGTCACTTAAGTAAGTAAGAATGTAAAAGTTATTGGACTCGCCATAAAACAATGTAAAGTTTGAATTTAGTCTATATATAAAAATACGTAGAAAAAAGTTCACATGTAATAGTGTATATAAAAAATGAGTATATAAAAAATATACCTAGCCACAAAATATAAGGTAATTTTACTAAAAACTTTTCTAACAAATAAAACTCCCAATATTCTACTGCAGATCTGCAAGATCTACTCTGCTACTGAACAACTCTATGAGTGATTTTAACATAGGACACCTAGAATAGTTTGTTTGAAGGTGATTGACAATGTTTCGTGATGATTTTTATATAATAGACAATGGAAGTCCGAACTAGTGAAATACACCTAGAATAGGATATGTAAAAGTTGTGATCAATGGTTAATCTAATAAGCTTGTAAAGCACTATTTTTAAAAAGGGAGTTCTTTTGTGTTTTTATTGTCACAGTGATTTGGAAGATTAGAGAAATGCACTGTGAAAATAGGTACCCCTAACTGAGTGTTGCCAGTTTCACAGTTTCAACTGTCTCATGACAAACCAGATTCTACTCAGCTTAGCGCCTGTTTTGTTTATGATATTTTCATGTAATTTTATTATCTTTTCGTAACTACCAAAAATCAAGTAACATTAATCTGGTCATTGCGGCTATGAGTTAATTTTATTGCTACATCAAAGAAAAAATTATACTTTGCTGGCTTTGAAGAATTTCCAGCACAACTGTTAAGAGAGACTCTGGATATAATATCAATACGTTTAGCATTAGTTATCAACCTATCAATAGAGCAGAAAAAATTTACAACACACAATAAATTCAATTCAAAACACGTTTTGCTACACGGTAGCTTCAATGGTTGGATCAGTTGGATTATATTTTTTCACTAAGTTTTTTTTTAGACCTGAATTGAACAAACCAGCAGCCCATATCTATACTCATACATTGAATGCCATACTAGAATCAGCCATAAGGGTTACGAATGCCCAGTATGAAGATGAAGACACCCTAAAACGACTGAACGTCAGTTTTATGAGCCACTCTTCAGGCGATACAGGTTGGGATGTATTCACTTTAGTATATATTGTGGATGGACCCATCGGAACCATTTTCCAGCAAACGATGCCAATGTACCAGAGTCTGTTTGGGGCTTTGTGGAAAGCTAAGAGGACCGAATATGCCTTGGCTAACATGAGGCGGCAGCAGATATCAATGGCTAAACTTTTTAGGCGTATAAAAGGTAATAGGTACATTAAAAAAAGAAATTTTGTGAAAGAAAAGTTTTTCTATTGAGATAATTTATATAATTATTACACACAAATTTATGTTAGTAATACTACCTCACAATATGTTTGCTGTGTCTCAAAATTAAAATCAACTCAAAATATGCTTATTGTGTGGGTAAACACACTGTTTGTTTCACAAAGGACAGTATGAATCCCAATACCCTTGCATAAACATCTTCTGGATCTACATAAATGTAAATGACTAGTAGCAGGATCCCATTCAGTGCGATAAATTGTTTATTCTTCAACTCTTTTTTTCATTTTCCAAGTGAACCCCCTATTATGTCATATCAGGACGAGATCACATTTGTTTTGTCAAAGTTGAAGGATAAAAAATTGAAATCGTACCATTCTTTCATCCTTTCTATGTCAGCACTGATTTGATCAGATAAATTTGGGAAGGTATTGTTGTGAAAGGAGTGAGAAATGTGAATTTTCCACTGATGTCAACATGAAATAGATGAAAATAGATAAATATATATACTGAGTAGTTAGTTATCCTTTTAGATATATTTTTCATACATCTTCAAATGTGAATTGGAATCAGTCAATTAGTTCTTAATTAGTATTCATTCAAGTATTGTTGTAGAGCTGAAACCTGTGATGCACTTCATCCATCTACTGACCAGCAAAATGATTCATTTTCTACATCAAACACAGTATTATTTTCTATTTGAAGTATTGGAATGTTCTTGGGCTGAGATGCAGAATCAGGTAAACAAAGCTGAATGTTTGGACGATATCATTACAGCCCATACAGGATTTCTAAATTCGATACAAAGGGGAGTTTTGCTTGATGAGAATTCGCGGGTGAGTAAATGAATTTTTTTTTTGTGAAAATTACTAATGATATTGGACAATACTAAAATGATGAGTTCAGATTAGATATCCTCATGTACAAAGTGGGCCAAATTGAACACTTTTGAAAGGAAACTCCTGTTTTCAAACTACATAGATGGAAACTGATGACTCTGTCTGAGGGTCAAATAGTGATATCTATCATCATTTCTGAGTTACAGCATGTTCTTCGAATATGTGCGTTTTCGAAAAGTTGCTATAACTGTAAAGACATTTCCAAAGCACTTTTTTACGTAGAATTCAATAGTTTAAAAAACTAATTTTTTCATAGGAAATATCATTATTTATTGAAGGAAGACTATTTTTTTCATGAGACACCTTATATATTCCTGAATATTTCAATATAGCATAAAATTACATTTCTTAAAATGAAGCACACTTGGTGTTTTGCTAGAGTATGAGTATTATGAGTATGAGTAGTATGAGAATTAATAAAAATGGGATATAGATTATTTCGAATTTCATTCAGCATTTGTTTTTCTTGTATCGAATACTTTTTGTTTTCAGCAATTATTCTCACACCTCCTTTCAATCTACAATTTTGTGGTGAACCTCGAAGCCCATCAAGAAGCTCTCTACCAGGCGGCTTCTGACGAACACGATGCCTATACTCAGTACTACAACAAAGTCAATGAAGAACAAGGTTTCGGCACTACCACAGAGGAAGAGGTGGCAAACAAATTACGGCGAGCAACATTCCATCAGTTTCTCAACACAACAAAGTTGAGAGTTAAAACTTCGGCTCAAACTTATGACGTGATTGTAAAAAACTTTCTGGAACTATTATCAAAAAGCATGAACATGAATCTGAGATTATTGAGCGTAAGGTTGAGTTTCAACAATTTCTACAATGTTGCATGACCAGACTGGGATCATAGCAGTAACTCGAATTCGAATCCGACCCTGGATTTATCTCCTCAAACCTGTGAAACTAGCATTAGTCTCGAATCTCCTGCGAATGTTGTTGACTTTAGGAGTATTTTTTCGTCCAATAGCTTTAATTGTACATACAGTAATGATGGACGTTATGAGGTATGTAGTAGCAAGTATGGTAGTGTGATTTCCTTGGTGGACAATAACAACAAAAAGAAACGTAAGCATATCTGATGTTGCGTCGGGTGAAAGGTGGCAGTTTTAGGTTTTTGTAGCTTTTGCACCTTTAAGCAGTTTGTAAATTTTTGTTGTTATATTTGAACAATTCGTGATACTTACTTGCCTCGTATCTACCATTCAGTATGCTTTCTAGTTGAAAATTGAGATACAGCTTTCTGCAGGTTTTGGTTTCAAATCTCCTAGTGATAATAACACTTCAAGGTTCTGGCAACAAAAGTTAAAAAATTAGTCCAACATAGGAAGTGATATATTTTTTTGAAAGTTTAATAAGTATTTTTGCTCGCTAGCTCAAAAGTTGAAAGAAAGGAATTTTTTTTCCATATCTGTTTTTTTTTCAAGAGGTCGAAGTAATTGTTAAAACTGTACATAAAATTGGGTGTTTAGCTACAGTTTGTATCTCACTGAAAAATGTGCTACTAAAATTCGTATGTTTATCTAAAATAATATAAGAGTTGTTGTGTTAAGCAGAGGTTGGGGTGTTTGAATTTGTATCAATTTGATATTAGGTAAATTATTATATGAGGGTTTTGATTCCACTGAGAGTGCCATACTAACTGTGTGTACCATCTAATCTTCATGAATATTGCCTTCTATAATTACAATTTTTGCTTCCGACAGTGTTATGCGACATAAAATATGTTAAAAAAAATCAAAGGAATAGCAAAGTATAGCAGTTATTGCATTCCATTAACAATTTGATATAATATATAATCTACTGTCTTACTAACTGCCCCTAATACATTTTGCCTCTCACGCATCAAGATTACAAGACATTGAATGATATTTTATGTACATACATATTCTTGGCAGCAAACTTTATTGCCATATTGCCATTAATTCTAAGGTATATTATTTTGGATCCTGTACAAAATAATGTCTATTTCATATTCAACTAACAAAATAGATTAGGTGACCCCAGTAGTGGAACTAGAAATTCAATACAGTAAATTTCATTTTCTGAGTACAGAGAATTGAACTATTTTGTCGCCACAGGAGAAATTACTAAAATTCAGGTATTTTTAAGTGTATTACAGCTACTGGAATAACAATGTATACATGTTCAGATAACAAAATTCAAATTTTTTCAGTTAATTACCCAGATACGACTCCGAAATGAGAATGAACAAATTTGTGAACTTGAAGACACTGTTAAATGTGGCATTTAAAATCTTTAGATTGGGTTTTTGGAAGTTTTCAGTCTATAGAGGATATTGATAAATTTAGAGCACATTATTATAGTTATTTAATTATTTTCGTTCGATATTAAACTAACTTCTGTAAGATATTTCTTTTTTAAGACACAACCATTGACCTTCTCGAAGTTGGAGAAAAATTAAATTATTCATTTATTACTTAGCTGGCAGTTTAAAGAAAACACTCTCACACAATACTCTATTGGGAAATATTTGTGTAAAAAAAAACAAGTCCAGCAGCATTAGGTTGTAACCAAATAAATTCCATTTTGAGTGAGATTTTCAACATATCGCTGACGCGACCCAGAAACAATTGAGCCTAACCGTGTTAACATCATTGATCATTTTTTCATCAGAGAACTATTTATTATCACAGTTTTTTTTTGATAATCAAATTTTTTGTTGTTTTGACAGAACAAGAAAATGTGACAATAACATAATATCGATGATGGTTACACAAAACTTTCAACAAAAATTTTATTTTTTTCAGTAGTAAAAATAACAAAATGTTCTGCATCTATATCATTTCTTCTATGAAAGAACAGTTTTTTTTTTAAATTTATTAAAAGTATTGATGACTAATAAATGTCACAAATATAATCCCAAAAATCTGTTTCAATTCACACATACTGTTAATTCTCGTTTGTGAGATGCTCTATTAGGCACTAGAAATTACTGAAAACCTCCTTTTCTGAAATAAAGGATGTTGAAATTGAAAAATATGTTCAATAATAACATTTTTAAACTATTTGCATTTTGTCTGAATGAGTATAAACTGATACATAGAAAATAGTCAAGCATTTTCAGAATTAAAAGAAAATGTTCCAACATTACTCAGACCCAAAAAATATTTTAATATTACTCATAAATTGTGGTTGCTTTTTGAAACTTGAAACTTCAATGTACCCAAGGAAGTATCATAAAAATTGAATGCTCACCTCTTGTATTAATGAAGAATTTTATGTAAATTAATGAATACATTTATGTATAATATATTCTGTCATCAAAATGATTATATTAGTATAAACGAATTTTTTTAATGCTGGTCCATCGATATTAATTTTGAAATGTTCTTTTTTATTTCCATAAAAATGGAATATCATGTTTTAATTAGGCCACTTTCCACCTAATATATTGTTGGTTTTAACCTGTTTTACACATTTCTCAAATGTAATATACACATAATTTTAAGTAAACATTGTTACAGCCATTTATATAAGACTGTTATAACTTTTTTTACCAGTGATTATATCGCAAACGTTAATACTATGTTCCAATAAATTAATTGATATATTTTAGCATCTCATTTCCAGAATATTTGTTGCAGTTTCAGTGTCAAGTTCTGAAATTCGGACAGGAGAAACATTTTCTCCTGAGACTCAAAAAAAAAATTACCTTTCAAGTTGTAATGTGGGAAACTTCGAAAGAAAGGAAGAAAATATACTCTTTACAAAAAGTTTTTCCCTAGAAACTATGAAAAGATACCACTTTCGATTCAAAAAAATTCCTATGTTATCTTGAGAGAGACAGAACGTGCTGATGAGATAATTAGACAAGTATCTTATTTCGAAACTTCAAAGTCCACCATTAAAGATGATAGTGTTCCATATAAGTGAAATTCTTCATCATAACTCTTTCATATATAATACGAGTATTGTGCAGTGTCCCTATGAATGGTATCTGATTTAATTCCATAACAAACGTTCGAAATACAAACTGAAAAGGAAAAAGCGATTTTCGTATAATTCAATGTTCATATGAAAGTACTTGTTTCAAAAGTATATTTTCTTTTATGTAATGCAATGTTCATGTGACAGTAGTTGTTTAAGGAGAGCTTTTTCTTCATGTTTGTATCTGAAAATAACTTTTATGCAAGATCTACTCCTTTTTGTATAGTTTAATTGGGACTTGATTGCTTTCTTCCTTTCCTTGGGAACGTCCTCCTTTTTTTTGTATAGAGATGGTGAAGTGGAAGCCAAAAAGCTTTTTTTTCGAAAAGTATTCTCTCCTAAAAATATGTTCTGTTCAAATAGTATCCCCCATTTTGAAATAGCTTCTTTTTACTTCTCCATCTTTCTTCTATTCCTCGGAAGATTTCCATATTATTTTGTATAAAGATGGATCATTTGAAAAATGGAATATCATTAGGACCACAGGAAAATTCCTCCTACAGGTGCATAATACTGTAATAAACTTTACTCGATGATTTTTTTTGTTACTTCAGAGTTGCCCGATTTGTTCAGTGAAGTATATCAACAATGATTCTCCCATGAGTACCAAAATACCAAGGTGGATTTGAATAACTCGTCCACGATTGTGCACATTTGAGATCATCTTGGTATAATTAGTCCAGCAAAGAATTATTTTACTTTTTTCTAAATTTCTTTTCTTCACTATTTACCTTGAATTAATGGGAATATAATTAAATAACTCATTGCGCTTGCTCCATTTTGTGATAGATTTTTGGTGGGTTTGCTCCTAGTAATTTTATTCCAGATCATTCCCGACAAAAGTTATTTGACTTCTCGGCTCAATCAAACTACATCGAGCAGCGAGGTATTTACTCAAACTGGAATAATATTATTGAGAATAAATCACTTTTTCCAAATCCATAACATTCATTATTGAATTCAAAAATTAGTTTCTCAAAAGTACTTTTTTTTATGCAATGAATGTTCATGTGAAAGTAGTTTTTCGAGAGGGCTTTTTATTTCAGTTTGTATCTGAGAGACTCCTATGCTTTTTGACACATCTTTGTGAAGATGTTTTAAGATGATTGCATTCTTTCTCCTTCCTGAACTTTCCCACATTTTTTCTATAAAGATAGAGAAGTAGAAAGCAAAGTAGTTTTCTTCCCAAAAACATCTATCCTGAGTACAATACTCCTTTCAATTTAATAAAAGTGTATCGAAATTAATTACATAATTGGTTTGTGTAATTTTTTAATTGAATTTTATCAAGTATTCCACTCACTTGACAAATAATAGAAACTGATGATATCGAATATAACGCTTTGCTAATATTTTGTAGGACTAAGAGGTAGAGGCAAAAAGATGAATGAAAACTAATGTGATTCGTCAAGTCTTCAGCAGACGTTGCGTTATTTTTCATAGAACAGAATATCCAATATATTAATGTTCTCCATGACCACGTTTGCTATTAATAAATGCTGATAGAAGTTTCAAAAACTAAAAGACATGCATAATTTGATTAGTGAATCTGATGCACATTAAAAAGTCACTCCAAGACTAATATTTCTCCAAATCTCCAATAATAAATGTAAATAATTTTGAGTAAATATATATATTTATAAATCCCAGAGTCCAAAAAATTGTCCACATTATTAACAAAAAATTTACTTGATTCTACACATTACTGAAGTCAGAAAATCATTATTTGATAGTTTGATCAGTCGATGAATGATGAAATCCATTCATACACTTTTCAAAACTTATGATTATGTAATGAATCAAAAAGAAAAAAGTCATTTTTACGATATTGAAATGATAATAGGAGTAGAGTGGAAAAGAAACAAATATTCTCTCTAACATTCTTCTAGATTTTACGAAAATAAACCTTTGCAGGTGAATTACAATGGAAGTGTATGGAAAATGTAAAGATCTCGTCAATTTTGAAAATTTGTTAGTGAAAAATATAATCCTTTGGTAAAAGAGTGAACACAAAAAATATTTTTTGGTTTCGCAAACCCTGGCTCACTTGCCTTAGTAAAAAACTTTAGTTTTGCTCATAGTGTACTATTCTTGACCCCTCCCTTGAAATAATCCATATAGGAAATTTTGAATAATTTTATATAGCGTATGAGGAAAGAAATGGAGAATATACAGAAACAACTGGAACATGGCTCAAAATAATTAGTTTCTGATCACTACATTCATTCTCTCAATTAGATCATATTGATTGTGAAAGTAGCCTTCAAATCTTTTTACACATTTCCACAAATATAAGGTAACCATTAAGACATGTTGGAAAATGAAAAGTGGGGAATATATGAAAATGCGGTGAAGACTATGACAAAAATATATCGGTCAGACTAAGCGAGCTACTCAAATCCTTTGGAAAGTCTGAGAATACAAGCCCATTGTTTACCTTTATATCAGTCGCTCTTTTAAAATAATATGTATGAAAGTGCGCCCTGTTAAATACAAATATAAGTCAGATTTATAGTTCGGGAACAGTTTTTAACCCAGTTTATAACTAATATTCCATAGTTGTATTGTATATTTAAAAAGACCAAAACATACTTTTACTATTTTTATTACTTATAAAGACTCCGTTACAAAAGTTTACCTAAAGAAAATGACAAGTACAAACTAACAAACTAAAGTATACTTAATGTTAATATTCTTCTATACTGCTTATGAATATAATAACCTTTAAAAACACCAATCAAATTCTCGTGGAGACGGACAAATTGCCCGAAGTCTATTACTGGAGAAATTTGATGATCACTATGTGAAATGCCATAATAAATAGGGAATCCCACAGGTTTGCCACACCCGCACGTTTCCAGGATTACGTGAATAATCATTTTATACTTTAAATACAAATAACACAAAAAATAAAGCAACTTATTCTATTTTTGAAAGTAGTCACTTTTTAATTCTCAACTTAGTTGGTTTTATCCTCAATTCTCAGCTGGCAAAATGATTTAAAATACTTGACAGTCTCAGAAAAATTAATAATAGTTAACTCCCCAGTACAGCTTCGCACACTCACTATACTGTTCTAAATCAGGTCAGCAATATTCATAGGCATTTCATCAATCTTGGTATTATAAAATTGTTCAATGTCTTTCAGTGTACGCTTGTCTTCCTCCGCAACAAAATTTATAGCTACGCCCTTACGACCAAACCTGCCGCCACGACCAATCCTAGAAAACAAAAAAAAGTATTAAAAAGTGTCTTTATAAATAAATATGATCGTTATTTGATTATTTTCATCAGATATAAAACAGTTCACATCAGTACCATCAGCGATCTTGGTGGAAAAATAGCATCATAAAATAAAATAAGTATAACAATTTTAGTGATTCTGAAATCTTGTGACCAATATTAGTCTTGCATCATGTGCATAATTGAAACATTAATGTTGAACCAGTTCAAGTTTGATATATGATTTGGAATGGCCTTGTATAAGTATATGTGAAGATAAGTACCTAACCGTGCTGGAAGAAGTTACCATATAGACAGTTTTTTTTAGCTGATTCCACTGTTGCTATCCCGAAAACTGTAAGACCTACAAAGTCGGTTGAAATGGACAGAAATGTCTTATTTTAGGAAACTAGTCCATTAACTTTTCGTATCGAGAATATTTGTGGTTGTTTTTGAAATATTTGCTAAAAACTAGAACTTTATTGTTTAATCGAATTTTGTTGTTTGGCTCAACCGCCTCGATTTCAAATGATATGAAAAGTGGCTAAATAACTGTCAAAACTGTTTCATATTTGTTACAAACTGATATTAACCAATTTGGGATATGACGTTTTGTTTATTAGATGTCATCAACCTTATTTTTTTAAATAAAAACCGGCATATATAGCTAAATTTGTTATAACAGTGGCTACAAAAATTGATGAAAAAACTAGAGGTCTGTATCTAAAAAAATAAAGTTGTTAATGAAATCTATTGAACGAAACGTCGCTTTGTAAAGTTGAAAGTTGCTTTGACCTTTTTTTTTTATATCATTCGAAATGGAGATGGTTAAGCCAAAAAACGAAATTTGACAATTCTAGATTTTGGCGAGTATTTGAAAAACAACTAGGTACTAATATTCTCGATCTGAAAAGATATTCAAGTTGCCCAAAATAGGGAACTGTTGTTCAATTTAACCGACCGAGAGAGTAATAGTTGGGTCAGCTGAAATAAACGGCCTGTATAGTAAAATACTGCATTAGTTTTCGAAATTAGTGTGCTTAGTATTTCAGTTTATATGTCTATTCATAACAAGAATTTCAAGCAACATCCTTTCAAAACATAATATGACTCACCTGTGAATGTAGTTCTCTCTATTTGAAGGCAAATCATAATTTATAACAAGTGAAACTTGTTGCACATCGATACCACGAGCCAACAAATCTGTAGTGATGAGGATCCTGGAAGATCCGGTTCTGAACTGTCTCATAATAACATCTCTCTCTTTTTGCTCCATATCTCCATGAATAGCAGAAACGGTGAAATCCCTGTTGTGCAAGTTATCGGTTAGGAAGCCTACCTTGCGACGGGTATTGCAAAAGATAACAGCCTGGGTTATTGAAAGAGTTTCATATAAGTCACACAGCGTCTCAAATTTCCAATCTTCCTTCTCCACGTACACATAAAATTGTTTGATGCCTTCCAAAGTGAGCTCATCTTTCTTGACAAGAATTTGCACTGGATCCCTCATGAAAGCTTCCGTTATCTTCAACACTTCAATTGGCATGGTCGCCGACAGTAACACAACTTGAACGTCAGCATTGACGGTTTTGAAAATATCATGGATTTGATCTGAGAACCCTTGAGACAGCATTTCATCAGCCTCATCCAGTACGAACATCTTGATGTGACTTGTTCTCAAGGCGCCACGTTTAATCATATCATATACTCTACCGGGTGTACCCACAACTACATGCACACCAGCTTCAAGTTTCCTGATATCTTCTCTAACATTTGTACCACCAATACAAGCTTGGCATTTAGTAGACATAAAATCTCCTAACGCAATCACCACTTTCTGGATCTGCTGAGCCAGCTCTCGGGTTGGTGCCAAAATCAAAGCTTGGCACTCATCCAACTTGGTATCAATGTTCTGCAGGATTGAAATCGAGAACGTTGCTGTTTTACCCGTACCGGATTGGGCTTGGGCGATAACGTCATGTCCTTTTATGCAAGGGATGATCGCCCTTTGTTGAATCGCAGATGGTCTTTCAAAACCATAGGCGTAAATACCTCTAAGAAGTTCATCTTTCAGGTTCATGTCGTCAAAATTATCGACGACAGTATCATAGTTGGTCTGTATAACTCCGTCAGGTTGCATGCCTGCAGGTCCGTCAAGAGCTGCAGCTCCTTCCATATTATCCCCATTATTCCTGCAAAAAAATTATATGTTACGAATTTTGAACATTTTGCAAAACAAAACAAGGAGTTATTGTAGCTATTTTTAAACCACAAAGATCATTCCTCACAGGATGACTTTCTAAAAACTGTATCGACTGATTAGGTATAACCAGAGAAATTTACGTTGTTAATCTACCTGATTTTAGATATATTTCACTAATACTGATCCCACATAATTTTAAGTAAATCTAAATGAAAACTATGAGTTATTGAATTTATCGTTATGTTTAATGTTGATCGCGATAAATTAGTAAAATATAAAGGGCATATTATTTTGGTTGACTTTTACCAGTTTTTATTCATTTACTTTAATCGTCGTATTGATAACAAAAAGCGACTTCGCAAAAAATCATCGGTGGGGCGTTGGTTTAATAAAACTATAATATACCTGGTGATTCTCTAAGGTGGCTCACCACTATAACTTTTTTTATTATTGGAGATAGAAAAACGAAATTTGGGGGTTGTGTATTATAGTTCAATATACATTTTTTGACATATTTACTTGCTTTGCCGTACTTCCGGTTTGACCGGAAATTGCCCCAACTTTCGATTTTTAAATAAGACATAATATACTGATTTTTACTTATTTTGAGAATGACATTCTAAATCCAACAATACTTCACTTGTCAATAATTGACAAATAAAATCGTTCTTTTTCCAATTGCTGATTTTTGTCAGAAGGACAAATATGGCGACGATTAGGGCACCTCTGAGCATAAATTCGAACTGCATCAGTTGCATTCTTTTTTATTTCTCCGTAAATTAGCAACATGTCAATTTTCTCGTTTCTAGTATAATTTGCCATATCTAATTATAAACTACATAACAAATACATTTTTAAAAGTGACAGCATATTCATTAGTCTATTTGTTTAGGTATCTAGTCCTAGCAACAGCTTCAATTGGTTGTCATGGATAACTAGAATAATAAATTGGAATAAAAATGATTTTATTTGTCAAATATTGACAAGTGAAGTATTGTTGGATTTAGAATGTCATTCTCGATTGAAATAAGTAAAAAAATATAGGATGTCCCATTTAGAAATCGAAAGTTGGGGTCATTTCCGGTCGAACCGGAAGTATGACAAAGCAAGTAAATATGTCAAAAAATGTAAATTGAACTATTATACACACCCCTCAAATTTCGTTTTTCTATCTCTTATAGGGGTGAGTCGTATATCCAATTATATACCACTCGGTATATAATTGGATATACAGTCAACCAATATACAATATAGAAAATAATCCAGGGGAAATTCATAAAGTTCCACAGCGATCTTGAAAAGCTCAATTTCAACAATCGATAGTATTAATGAAAAAAATACCTTCACAATATTCCTTGAAATTGATATTGAAAGACAAAGTACAGACGAAAAGATTTCTGTGTGAACTACCACAAAATTTATTCTTGTTATCAATACAAATTTTAACGCTTTCTGTTATTACCAAATCAATTTCCTATAAACTACAACTTGCTCATAAAGTGCTTGAAGAAGTACAATTAGACAGTGGGTTGGAACATCATCAGGCATTGATAATTTACCTGTACCTTACGTACCTTTTTTTACAAAATAATGGAAGAGCTAATATTTTCCTGAGTGAAGTACAGCTTGATCAATATTCAGTCAACACTTGCACCTGCTTTAACTATCGGATGCAAAAAATATGATCTGTAAACTGACCAAATAAAAATGTATATGAAATGCTTGAAAAAATCTACTAACCTACATTTCATTCATTTACAGTTTGTTAGAACAATCTACCCTTAAAAAATATGAAAGCAACATGATGCACAACAAATTAGAGTTCAAATATTTCGTTTAGAGACGATGCAGGATTTTAATAACGAACAAACAATTATCTAGGAAGTAAAACGAAAACAAAACTAATTAATGCAACATGATGCACAACAAATTAGAGTTCAAATATTTCGTATGAAGGCGATGCAGGATTTCAATAATTAACAAATAATTCTGTAGGAAGTAAAACGAAAGCAAAACTAATTAATAATATTCACATTCGTGGGACATATTAGGCTGTATGTATCAAAGTGTAGAGAATTTGTCATGGGGACATTTGCTGTGAACAATAGTCATTGTAATATATAATTTTTCTTAGGAAAAACTTTCAAGCCATAAAATGTAAATGAAGTATTATCCATCTCATATAATAATAGCTTCCATAATTAGCATGCTGAAGTCCAAACCCATAAAGGGATTATTTTCAGGTAGTGCCTTGTTGTGCATTTTGCTTTGAGTGGTACCAAGCATCGGTACGTGCTGTATTTGCCTTATTAAGTGTAAAGACCGTTCCAAAAAAGTAGATACAGAAGAGTAGAAAGCCAAAACATTGCTCCATCTAATGAATATAATAATGATTTCAGTTATACGGAAAGTTGGTACCAAATTCCTTAATTCAAATGTAACCACCCCGATGTTTTCTCATTTTTGAATATCTGGCATGTTTCCAATTCCGTGCTTAGGTAATATAAAAAATCAACCGTTAACGAGATATTTCAGTTTTTCTTGAAAAAAAATAAATCATGTGCCTGTTCACTATAAAACTACGGGCTACCAAATCTTTATTTCTTCTTGCAAGAACAAGAAAAAGAAAAAATGGTTATTCTGAATGTTTATGAAATTGTTATTTACAGAACGAACAGCCATAAAATTGCAAGCCATAAAATTTTGAAGCCATAAAATGCAAATGAAGTATTATTACTTTATCTAATAGTTTTCAGAAATTGCAAACTGTAGCCCAAACCCATAAAGGTACCATTTCCAGGTAGTGCCGAGTTCTGTAATTTGCTCTGATGAGTGGTATTGTACCTAGTATCGGTACGTGCTGTATTTGTACAGACCGTTTCAAAAATGTACAGAATTTTTTCAACTTGAATTTCACCGGTAGAAGTTCGAACTTTTTGAACAACACCATATAACAAAATATGAAACAACAGACATACATTAGAAACATTAATAAAAGGAAATATGAAACACGAACCGGTATTTCAAAATAAGGTAATACCTTTTTAATAACAAAAAATACAGAGCGATACCATATACAACAGAATTTTGATGTTGTTCGATTACAGATTAAATAATATATGGGTTTTGGATTCTCTTGGAAAGTGGAAAAGTTTTTTCAATTAAGTGTCAAGACGTTTCGCCCCTGGCTAGAGGCTTTTTCAATTGTTTATTGATTTTTTTTATTTATAATACATTGTATATTTGACTGGTTTCCTTGCTTAAAATTATTGATAACTATTCAAATCACCGAAACGACACACACAGAAGGTCCTTCCACCTGCCATTTTTAAGACAACGACGCTCAATCCGATTCTCAAAAAATAAACACCAAAAACATAGGAAAACATGACCAGAACCTTTACTAACAATCACCATCAAATAAGAAGAACAAGAGCACTTCAACATTATTTACATTTTGAAAAGTTATCAATAATTTTAAGCAAGGAAACCAGTCAAATATCCAATGTGTTATAAATAAAAAAAAAATTTCAAATAAACAATTGAAAAAGCCTCTAGCCAGGGGCGAAATGTTATATATATTTTTTACAAGATATATAATCTTATTATTGTAGTTGTCCTGACGAAGGTGTGAAATATGAAATATACCGAAAGCTTGACATATAACAAAGAGTTTTCTTTGTAACAGCCCATCTATTGACTGCAACCTTACGAATTTAATCGATTTATAGTTAATCCAGTCACTAATTATTCTGTTATAAAGTGCTACCAAATTCCGGTACAACCGGAAGAGTTGGAAAACCCCCATTATATTCATTTGATAAAGCATTTGGAAAACTTATTTTTGCCAACTTTCATACGAATCATATTTCACCTTATAACAAAATATGAAATATAAAAAAAACATCGAAAAAACAAATGGATACTTCAATTTTGTATTGATAATAAGTTAATGTGTATTCAAAACCGACAGAAATATTTATAAAAAAGGATTAAATTATGAAAAACGAATAGGTATGTCAATATAAGGTATTACCAAAAAAAGTAGAGAACGATATCATATCCACAACAGAATTCCGATGTTCGATTACAGATTTAATAATAAAATATTAGAAAAACTCCCAAAAAACACAGTAGTGCTTGAAAGAGACTTGATTATTACAAAAGAAATTAACCATTAAAAAAAGTAAATGGAAATGATTGGACTTGAAAACAAATATTCATTACAACGAATGAAAATAATGATAAGAAGATTACGAGTATCCAACAAGGAACGTTATTAGAAACATTAATAATAAAACATTGTTTTCTATTATACATACTTTCAACTTAACTGAAAACATTTCTATTAAGCCTGTTGACTAATTTATTCCTCTTCAGTCATACAAGTTAAAATTGAAATAAAATGAAAATATTTTACTGGGTATTGATTTGATCAGAGTATTCCGCTATTTACCAGTGTACTTACTATATATCATAGATCTGGAAAATATATGCGTTTACTTTAAACTACTTCCTATATATTATCATGTAATATTATTTTTAGGACGCAAACTGTTATGTGAGAATTATTAATCTGATAAAACAAATAAGTAGGGCCTTTTTGCGTTCTTCATGAAATATTTTTTTTTCAAAGTAAAATCTCAGATGTATAATCTGAAAATAATTTGATAGTAAGGTAGTCATGCTTCAAGAAAGTAATTTAGTAATGAGTATACAATAACTTACGACATATTGTTCAAAGAAAAAATTCACAAACTGCACTCAGCGCTCTGAAGTAAACGTTGGTCAACCAAACGATTTCACTCTGTGGATTCCACACTAACTGGGGTAAAATCATGGAATGGCCCTTTTATATTATTATCAGGTAGAAATTTCAAATGAGAAGGGATAATAGTTTTCGAAAATGCAAAACCCCCTCTCCTTTCACTTTCTGTCTAGCCTCCCTTTGCCTGTATGTAAATTCATTTATTTATTTTGTTAAGAAAATTATAATTTATAGCGAAGGACTCAAAAATGCATGAGGTCAGTGTATTTTCAAATACTATTTCTAAATACTGTACCGGAAAGTTTGTTACGCTATTTTAAGCGGTTTTCTTTAATACAAAATATAATCAACAACTTGGGTCCTAAGGTTGTCAACTACGAAATAGTTATTAAATAACAATAACAATTTATCATTACAAAAAAAAATTCACAATAAACAAATTTCTGAGATATGCATACTTATATAATTATAACCTATATTATTCATCACATTCGCGTAAAATAAAAATATTTAAATATCAGTATGAATGAGTGTATTATAAACTACGTTTATTACAAAAGATGGAAAAAATATATCAACAGTTTTCAAATTAAATTTAAAAATCATAAAATGGAAATACATTTATACATGGTATTTCAAACACTAAACACCTTTATAGGGTTATGACGTTCGATCAGCATTTCGAATTTTTAAAAATATTGCCATTTTCGAATTGAAAACCTTCACCAAAAACTACATGCATAATAGTTTGATACGAGTCAATTACGAAACTTGAAACGTCATTCAAACTGAAAAAGAAATATTTTTAGTAGAAATTTATAG